TTTCTCTTTGACGTCCACTTCAATATGACTTTGAACCCTCAAAATAGGACAGAGCGGGATGCGACTTTACTCTTATTTTTTCATGACAGGTCACATGAAGGTTATTCGGTATAGGCTGGTATATATGATTGTTCACCTGCAGAGATGTGTGATACTTGGTACGGTAAACAGAGTTCCTGCGTGTACGCTACATGTGTTTTACCTCAGCATGCGCACCCGCAACTCTAATCTGGCAACAATCCCAGACATTCTCTCTCTACGTTCATATACCTGTGGTGTAGAAATAGACACTTTGAGTTCCATTTTGTGGACACGCCTCCAAGTGTACAATTATTTCCATTCCCAACTGTTAATGAGGTTGATGAAATACCATCTGTCAACTTCCCAAATGGGGTATGCCACAGAGAGACCATCATTACTCATGTCACATGTTCATGACAATGAACTTTGTCGCACGGAAGCCGCAACCATCTATCACTGTGGGACAACTCATTATTCTGCGTCACTTTTGCCAACTGTCTTAATAAATTTGCTCAGCTTGGACAAAGATGAGACACATTGTGAGCTCTTGAAGTTCATCAGGGTGCGGTTGCATTGAGGAGCTGGGTACAGTACTTGCCAGGCCACTTGAACAGGGCTGTCCAGACCAGGGCTCTGAATGCCTTCTCAAGACAAGTTAGTCTCTGTGCATCTTGGCAATAAATGAGATCTTGGCTCAACTGTGCACTAATAGGGGATGATAAATTAGAAATAGTGTCATGGCAGACATTGTGTCTGACCTGCATCATCTCTTAAGTGTAAAGGGCCTATGTGCAGGCAGTCAGCAACACAGCTTGACGCACTACTTAAGCTATTACAAAAAGTCCCTGATCGTTAAACTAATTGCAATATGGTGTACATGTACGTGCGTCCACGTTTGCTGAGTATCCTCAAGGCAACGGGTATTCTCAATAACAACCAACGTACACCACGTACGAACTGCAAGTCCTGAACCAAACTTCTTCTTTTTTGGGGGGGAGGCCAAGCTTAAACACAGTTATTGGAATAAGATCAGCAGTTTGCAGACGTGTGAAAGAGATAACAATTTCGAAATAAAAGTGTTTGGGAATTTGGAAATTGTCATACAACTATCGACCTATGACCCAGTAAAAAATTTGAAAAAAAAAAAATTTCACTGCTTTCGTGTGACATGTGACCTGACTTGCCAATTTTAATGATTGATTTTGTCTCCATGCTAAAATTCAAAACACCCATTACTCAGGGCTGAGTGGCAGCCTGGGATTTTTGACAGCTCCATGCCACTATTATTTCCAAGTCAAGGATGTCGGGACACTTTTTTTTAATGTGGCTCCTGGGATCATTTCTGTTGGCACGCCAATTTTCAGAGTTGTCACGAGAGAGTCAGCTTGGCCCACTTACAGATATGATAGGAGGGCCTCAATTTCCCCTCTCGTAAATATTTTCGATATATACGAGCAGTGTTGATCAAGTGCTGTACTTTGCCAAAGACTGACTTGGCTCTTGTCAAAAGTAACCCCGTTTAAAATCAAATTTTTTTTTCGTTGTTGATATATGTACATTAATCTAAAAGCAGGCGGACAGCTTTCAGGCGGGTGACAACTTTTTCAAGAATATGCCCCCTCTACTTTGGCCAGACAAGTTTGCAGCCTACATAGGAGCACATCCAGGATCCCAAGAATTTAGATGCTGCTCTTGGAGAACCTTGATAGGTTCGGGACTCCAGACTTCAGTTATTACCTATTCTGGCTTCTACACTGGCTTGATAGCAAATTTGTTGAAGCTTAAAATGTAGCCTAGGTCCCTAGGTCATTGTACTCCACCTCGAAAAAGTAAAAGGGTCTGATGTTGCAATCCTAGCAGAATCTATTTCAAAGAAAAAACTCTCTAACTATTTTTAGAAATACAGCAGGCACACAAAACAAGCAAACATATCAAAACTCGACCAGTCACATTTGAAGCACCGTGTCAGCCAAGAGTTTAACCATCTACCACAGGAGAACGAGTGTGCCATCTGAATCTGCATTGGTGGCTTTTTGTACCGAGTGGTGCTACTGACTGAGCTAAGGTCGTTTACCTTTACCCTCAATGCAAGCTGCAAACTTGAGAATTCCCACCCACCCTTTCCTTCAACACATCCAGCTCAGCCACACTCTGTCCCAGACTTCAGAGCTTGTACATTTTCCACCGATATGCTTACCAAGTTACACCATTATTAAACACATAGACCAGATCCCGACAGTGCCTCTCAACCAATATCAACATCATTGGTATAGCTTTACCCCAGACTTAAGTGTATCAAGTTCTCAAGTGAATGCCACTGGAATTTCATGGCGGCAGAGACCAGAGGGATTAACTACACAATGATGCAGGTCAAGTTCCAAGAAGGTTATCTTTTTTTTTTCACTGAGAAGAAAATGGAAGCTTTATTCAGTTAGGGGATAGGAATGGTACATAGGAACTCTGGACTGCCAAGAGTTATGGAATTTCATTTCAATCGCAAATACTGCATGGGTGATTTTGCACAATTGTACAAAGGCATTATGGGAAGGAAAAGGGGGCAATGTTTACTCCCTTTCCCTTCCCACAATGCCTTTCTACCATTGTGCAAAACCACCCATGCAGTATTTGCGATAAGGCTTATGGAGATTTTTCTTAATCATGCATAAAGGCTCTACCTGGTTGAGTCAGTTTGTTATCATGTGGGGAGTTGTAAATAAACTGGTGCCCAACTGCAAATGTATTGATTAAAATTCACAGCAAGCAGACCGTAGATAAGTGTTTTTGTTCCACCTTAGCTGACTATACCACAGAACCGCAGTGCAACATGTTCAACTTCATGTACATTTTTTTGCAGTGAATAAAGACTCTGCTAGCGCTACAGTGAGCATCTTGCCACTTCAGTAACCTCAGTTGCTTTCATTTTGTGACAATAAAATAGTTGTACGTCGCGTTCTGTTTACCGGTCTAATAATCCAGGGGGGCCAACAGGGCCATGCCCACCCCCCCCAAAAACCCTTGAAAATAAAACAAAAATGAAAGGTAAAACCTCACCCGTAGAAATTTTACATGACAAAGTTTCAAAATCCCCCTGCTCCCCCCAAAGAGTTTGGAATTGCCGGGGTGTTCAGCAAATGACTCCCAGATCCATAATTGTTTGAACAGTAAAAGGAGACTTCCCGAAATGCGCAGGTAAGTTGGACCACAATAAATATCTCGTACGACGTTTTTAAAAATGAGTGAATAAAAATGTAGAGGGTAATGAACAGAAAGGACTGCCAAACTCAAAACTGCGATAGAAACGCGACCCAAGAAAAAAAAAGGACTTACCAAAAGATGGCTGAACTCTGTGACTTGAGTTTTGAACTAGGACGTCACAAAAAGCTGACAAGATGAATCCTTCATTTGCTGCTTTTGCATTTTGCAGTTAATTTGTTATTCCCTCTGATATGCCTCTGGATTCAGGGTCTTTTCAGAAGAACTCAAAATAAAGGACGGCTCAAGAGTCATTTCCTTTAGTTTCAAAGCAATATAGTGCCACGTCGGTGTCGTGTCGGTTTAGCGGGGAGGAAGGAAAATAAACCACGTGCCAAATTAGTGTGAGCTGGGCATGATTAGTGGCGTCATCGTTATCCGTGCAAAACATAAGAGAAAGGCCTAGAAGACACTTGCATCGCATACGTATTAGACAAAAGACAAATTCTGCATGGTGACATTTTAGCACACTTCAAGGGAAGCGCGAGGATTTCGAGGTGGCGATAAGGCCATTATATCCCTGCCAATCTCAAATATTTAGCAACGAAAACTACAATTTGGAGATATACTAATGCTGATATACAGGGTGCTAGTGACAGAAATTCCGGACAAATTAATGTTTACTTGAGAGCCCAATTTTATCTAACTACACCATACACTTGCTAGACAGAAGAAGTTAAATGTCCAGCGCACTGTTCTTCAAGACACCGAAGGTTGATTTTTGGTAATTTATGTCCAACCAAATAAAAAGAGAATCCTTACTACATCAACATGTTACAATGTAACCACAGTGCGACTTCTGTTTTGATGGTGGCCGGTTTTCATTATGGATTTTTGCATGTTTTTGATAGTGGATTAGCCTGGATTTTACAAGGGGGAGGGCACAAATGGGCCACCAGCATCTTATGGGGGGGGGGGCACCAGCTTTCAATGGTGTGCGGGGGCAAGTTTTTGTTCGCGTTGTTCGATATCTATTCATCCGGGTTTTTTTGTTTTGTTTTGTTTTTTGTTTGTTTGTTTGTTGGGGGTGTTGGGGTGTTTGTTTGTTTGTTTGTTTGTTTGTTTGTTTGTTTGTTTGTTTGTTTTAGTGGGAGAGGGACATGGGGGCACTGGCAATTTGTGGGGGCACCCCCCCATGGCTACGCCACTGGTTTCTGACTTTCATCTCAAGCAACATTTTGAAATTCATGTTGAACAACTCAAGTAGCACCCCGGCCCCTTTCCACCTTGGAACAGTCTAAAATTAAACTCTGAAAACAAAGGTGGCGCTCTAAAGTTTGCCCAAATAATCCTTTTGTATCGCAGATATACCAGATTGAATTTGACATCTCCAAGTTTTCAATCACAGCATTGTTTGTTGGAGGTGGGCAGTGAACAGATATTTAAAATAGCATTGCGTGAAATTCTGAGGCGTAAAATCTTAACTTGCTTAGTAAACTGACAGTATTGAAGCTGGCTTTGAGAAATCATAGATTCTGTGTGCAGTGTGCATTACGAGGTTTGTCACTATGGTTTCCCGAAAAATAAGCAAAATTGAAACTTTAACGTTGAGCTTATTCTCTTGAGCATTTCCTTTGAACTGTTACAACTCTAGCCTTTGTCATCATGAAGGCCAGCTCCTACAGATAATCTGGCCACCTTCCAGCATTAGCAGTTATAAGGTGACCACACTTCAATTATTTGTTTACTGACAATAAAAATCAACACTCATGGAGCCTATGTTTTTCTTTTCTATCACAAAGATGAAGTTTATTTGCTGTAAAAAGCAAGAGTACAATTGTTGAACAGCCCAGCCTGCAGTGTGTGATATAAATTTGAAGTAAACTTAGATTTCCTTTACAGGGCTTACTGCTGGGAATAAATGTACTTTTTCTTCTGGCGTTCCAATAACTAAACATCCCGGCTAGTTGCCAACTCTTCACAGGTGTTAGGCTCAGGTTGTTTGCCTAGTGGTTATCCCCTTCCAGTTAGCTGAAAACACCTACGCCTAAAACCCACACCTGCTACGTGTGACACACACACGCATACCACCTGTCCAATTTTCTTCCCGAGGACAATTTCCATTTTTCTTGGTTGCTTGGCACACATTTTTCCCCCCTCCCCAAATAGTCCCTTGGGGCTACTTCTCGTGAAAACTTGTGGCACTGCAGCTGTCTGATGCCGCCATCCAAAGCAGACATGCAATGTGTCACATGAACTGGATAGTAGGGGGGGGAAGGTTGGTGACATCAAACGCAGATTGCAGATTTCACACTAGCGCGTACCCGTAAAAGTGCTTTTCTCAGAGTTTTGGCATTTTCTGAACATTCCAAAATGTATGTTGTGGGGGCTGGTGTTGACGTACAGACATCTGCCACTTTCATCAGCTGGGCAATGCCGTCAAAGTCTAGAACAACCCTGACTTGACGGGCCCTGCATGTTACAGGTACATGCATCCTTGTTGGAGGTCCAGGAAGTGGGCGAGGGGTAGGGGCGCACTAACTATTCCCCCCTCCCAATCATGCAAACATTCAAATTGGTTACTTCTCCTTAAACTAGTAATCATTTTAATACCACGGTGAATGAGCCCTGAGGCCCATGATGCTGACTTCAGACAGGAAATATATTAAATGTCTAGTAATGCTCTGGGGTGCTGCATGTATATACACTGACATTGCATTTCCCTTTAGAACAAATGTAGAAAATTATTTTACGGTAGAGTAGAAAAATGCATGAAGTTTTCTCACGAACAGCTTTTATAAAGCAACATGCTATGACTTTCAACCCAATCTTGGGCCGTTTGTATAATTCTGGCTTCAGCTTCAAGCTCTGGCTTCGCAATCTCAAGCTCCATTGACAGACTGCAGGCTAGATGCGAATTTCTGTGCTGTACACCAAAACCTAAATTCCAAAGTCACTGCCTTTGCTTTCAGAATTCAGGGTTTCAAAAAACCATCACTCTGGAGAGCCTACAAATATCTATTCCGTTTACTTGTGTTTTATCTGACTTGACACATGAAAATTTAACGTGAAACAAAGGTTTAAAGTGGACACTCTTGAAGGCTAGTCTTGCAAGATACCAGCAGGGAACCAGTTATAAGCAATGCAACTGCATGGCATTGCAGCTGGTGAGCGTTTATGACCTTGGGACACTTATGTACTTCGCAACTCTATTGCGACAGGCTACATGTAGTATTGCAAGATATCAGCAGGGAACCAGTTATTAGCAATGCAACTGCATGGCATTTCAGCTGGTAAGAGTCTATTACGACAGCTCTTTGTTGTCACTTTTCTGTTACTTCAACATTTTTCTTCTGAAGAAAGCAGGGAGGGTCATTCTGAACAGATGTTCTAAGTTGTAACTAAATGCAAACTGATGAATCTGTTTTTACATCTATCGACGACAAAGACAAAAAAGTTATTTACATATGAAAACTGAATAACAAAAACAAACTTGAAACTAAGGAAACCCAAAGAACATTTCAAGGAGATCAAATTTGTTCCCAGACCGACATGAAGACAAGGGTGCTATCTGCATGGCCCTTACTTACAATCAACATTGGAAGCAGAGATTTAGTGAAGAATGCGCCACAAGGTAAAACTCAGACAAATTGTCTGGCGAACTCTGTTGGTACTTATTTAAATAGCTCATTGAAGCCATTTTCTGACCGCAAAAATACTGGAAAAACTAAAGTTTTTCAAGAAGTTACTCTGCTTTGTTTCATACATGAACACTTTAAGATGGAGCACATTTTGAAGGCAACCAAACACCTGCTGGTAATCTGCTTGCAAGTGGAATGTGAACAGGTGAAAATTCAGCCCAACATTCAAACCATGTCCAGATTTCAAATGCTTTCAAAGATTTTGCTTGAGTTCTGCTTTGAGAAACACTGAGACGAGATGATCATGATGAGCTGGCACATTCCATTACGAGGCAGGGGAGGCCGTACTGGGAGGGGACTGGTTACTGGCTGACTGGTTACTCAAGGCTTCACTGCCCATGCTCTCAGGCCGACTCTCTGCCAGGCTGCCTGCGCCATCTGTGGATAGACCAAAAGATGGAGGCTGCCAACTTCAAATAGACTGTATTCATGTGTCAGCCATCTTAAATTGAAAAAGAGGTCAACTTTTCATTTTTGGAACCTAAGAGTAAAAATGACAGGTATCAAATAAAAGTGCATTACAAATTAATACCAATTTTACTTTTTGAATGATTTGAAACTTGAGATAAATTACATCTAAATGTTTAAAGCTATATTTAAAAAAAAGAAAAAAAAAAGGAAAGTGAGGCTTGGAACCAAAACAGTCTGGCACCAGACGTCTTTTTTTTGTTGGAGGAGAAGAGCACCTTGAACACCTTTGAATGTGAACTGTGAGTTAAGGCTGGTTCATGCTTTAGGCAAAAGAAAAACAATGAAAAAATTTGACGTCACTAAACCACTGCAGTGAAATTTTTTGGGTGAGATTTGAGGGAAACTGAAAAATCTCAGGAAAGAAGTTGCCCTTCTGATGTCCATTAATCCTTGATCAGAATATTTAACCAATTTATCTGACTATTTCAACAATGAATCACACCAAATGCACCTGCCGTATCCTTGCTAGTTGATTTTCCTGCCTCTTTTCCACCCGACTTTTGAGCCATGAAAATTTCCATGAAATTTTTGTGGCCACTCTGTTAACCAAAAGGTGTCCATAGCAATGACTGCCACTTTGATCAATCAAACTCTCCAAGGGACAATTGGTGAACTGTAACATCAGCAAAATGTCACCTGAGAAACTGTCCTTAAACACAAACCTGATTGGCTAAGTGCCAGAATACTGCATCTTTTTAACCAATAAACAGCATTGCTCAAATGTTCCCTGTCAAACATTCAGACAATGCCATTGGATTTCAGTTGGAGTAACCACACAAAAATTCACAAACTCTCAATTAGCTTTCTTGCAAAAACGGGAAACTAATAAGGCGAAAAATTCAGCAAAGCGATGCAAAATAAGCAATCCACATACGGTATCCTGAGCACATTTTAGAAAAAATCTGGACACATCTTAACCCCCCCTCCATTGAAACATGCTCAGCTTTAGTGTGATAACATGTGGCCTGATGTCGCAGTGTCACTGGTGTGAACTCGCTTTTGCAGCAAGAATGAACTGGCCTTGAAGCCAAAAAAAAATTAAAAAATAAACCTGAAATATATCTTCAAAGCAACAGCATATCACACAGAACATAAATGATGACTTTTGATTCATCTGGAAGTCATAAATGCTCTCCCTACTTTTGACACAAAAGTTCATAGTCCAATTCAAAAGTACAAACTTGCCAAATGGGCACCAAATCTTCGTAACCATATAACTGCACAATTCATAGGGTAAACCTAAAGAATCTATAATCCAGTGACTTCTCACGCAACCATGCCATTCATTTCATCTCGGATTACACTGTCAAACTTTAACAAAGAGCAACAAATTTCCTTCCCCACCAAAGTACAAGACACCTAAAGTCACACACCTACAAAATGCTTCCTCTCGAATTCAACACCCCTCAAGCCCCAGATTCTTTTTCTGGATGCTGAACAAGAGAATGCTGGATTCCCAGGGGGCAGTGGAAAGTTTTCTGCTCCCTCTGTAACAACACATGCACCCGGCAGTTCCGACAGGCATTAAAACTAACAAAAAATCCCCCCACCATCCCATGATTCACTCCAAATACTTTTTTTTTTTACTACCAACTGTTTTTGGGGGGAGGGGGGGACGAAACCAAGGCAGACAAAGAAGTACAGACCATTCAAATCGGCCGGAAAGTTTCAACTTGAAAATTATCTGTGTGCCAAAGGCAAGGATGTGCATGCACTTTTTTTTTTGTCTTGTCAGGCTGTTTTGAGCATTTTGGTTTCTTTTTCACGTTTGGCAGGTATGTCTGTGCATTACCCTTTTCCATTTTGTAAAAAGCTTCCTTACAGAAGAAATGCTTTAGTCAAGCCACCTACAGGTCATGCTTTAGCAGTTACATTCACTGCCTAAGAATGTTAAGTGCAAAAAGTCTCGCTGATCTAAAAATACACCGGCCTTCGAAAATACACTGTATAGCAAAGTGGTAAGGACTTTTGAAGGGAATAAATGTTGCACGTTAGCACAAAGGCATCTCCTGTTGCTCTTTTTCCCCTTTTTTTTTTTAGAACACAGCAAAAGAACCCTGCAGCAAGTAACCTCAAACGTATGACCAAGTTTCCCTGAACATGACCAAAGGGAAGAAGGTCTCTTACATTTCCACTTGTTACCCCGACATGAATATAATGGTAACAGATTCATTCTGATAATAAAGTAACCTTTAACAACAATCACCCTGCATAGTTCTTAACAAAACCTGCCGAGTGTCAGAGTATTTTTGAGAGGCTGGGGAAGGTTGGGCCTTGTTACTGCTTTTAAAAAAAAGAACTTCCCTCCCTGCGGTGGGTTTTGGCAGCTCTTGGACAGGTTAGTACAGAGAACGTGCCATGATTGGTTTCCTACATGATAATGATCACAGATCCGGCTGAGTGAGGGGAAACGTACAGTAAACACTCACAGATGGCCTGTAAGCCAGACCATCCTACGTCCAGCACAAAACCGGCATGCTTGTACAACATAGGTTAACTTTTTTACCACAAAATTAAAAAAGACATCCCAGCTTTTCCGCTACGCTCTGCTTCAGCCGAATTTTGTTCACTTTTAACAGAGTAGACAAGTCAGTTCTCAGCTAGTGTGACCCATCGTACTGGTATTCATCTCTGCTTTTCTTGGCATGATTGAAAATACTGTTCACCCCCCCCCAACAGTCCATCACTGGTTACTCCACAGCCAATGCTGGTAGCCATTTATATTTTCCTGGATGGAGAGAGGAAAGTAGGGGTGGGGTGATTTGCCCAAGGCCACATTACCTACACGTATGGCCAGCAGCTGGATTCGAACCCCTCACCATCTGGTCGCGAGTCAAACCCCCTCCCCCCCGCCTCCACAATGAATGCGTACCTTGGCTGTTGGTGTCTTGAAGAGGGCTCTGGGTGAGGGTGCTGTCGCTCCCTACGGAGGTGGGAGGCAAGGCGCCCGTCACGGCGGCTACGATGGCTGGGTTCTGAGCGGCCGTGGATGGAGCGGGTACAGGGGCATCTGGTTGGCTTGGGACATCGCCTGAGATGGGGCAGACAAAGTAGACGAGAGTTGAAGGGGCAACTTTCTGGACACATTTCTGTGTTTAACACACATTGATCATTGAGCCTCATTGAAGATGCAAACCATGCACTTCATTCGCAAGGTCACATCCCACATTTGGTCGTGCAGTCATGGCCGCACTTTGTCAAAACATCACAGGTGAGCCCCACAGCTTACTATCACATGGTAAAACTTTGCTCTATGTTCTCTTTTGTTGTTTATGACTAATGTTTTAAAACTGGGTTCCAAGGTCTCTGAGTTGATAAAAGTTAATAAGCAAGGGCAACGCCATTTCTTTTCTCCTTGAAATGATATCAAATTTAGATTGCAAAAATTGTGAACTGGTCATTTTTTTGGCTGCATAGTTCACAGACCAAAATACACTGTACACATTTCTTCACAGAAGGAGGTTGCATAGAAATCTCTCCTCCTTACCAGTATCCATGGGTTCCTCAGCGGGTACACTTTCTGCCTGCGGCTGCTCGTCCGCTTTGACCGGCTGCTGGCTCCCCCCAACTCCGGCCTGTTGGTCCTGGACGCTGGTCCCCTCTGAAACACCATCGGCGCCCACGGGGGTGACCATGGGCGCTGGCACGGCCGCCTGCTCGGGGTGGGGGACGGTGGGCTGAGTTGCAGTCACCGATGACGGGGGAGGAGTGCTGGAGGGTAGCTGAGGGGAACCTGGGCACGAAGAGGTCAAAGGAAAGATGAAAAGTGATGATGGGAACTGTCATCAATATTAAAGGGAACAACGGAGACTTTTCAGGCAGTGCATCAAAATTTGGTACGTTCCTGTACCCACTTCAATGCTCCTATCAGGGACACTGTGTTCGCAACAGCAATATGTTATATTCTCAGCATGTTCCTAGTTGTGTGTCTTTTGAGGTGCTCCCTTAAAGACAACCACTGTGGACAATGGAGCCAAATCCCCAGACCACGGTGCGGTCGTCTTACCGGTGAGTTGAGGAATACTTGGTGCTGCGGCATTATTGCTGGGTGCCGGTCCGCCCGTCGCTGCCTGCTGCATGGCAGCCATGGCCTGGGCGTGTTGACGGGCTCGCATCTCAGCCGCCCGCAGTTGCTCCTGGTGGAATTGCTGCCTATCGGCGAGCAACTGCTGTCGCTGGTACTCCAGCTGGAGGAAGTAACAGAGAAGCAAGAAGTGGAGTGATGATTCCATGTAGATTAAAACATTATATCTTTCACGGAGGCGGAGAGACCTATTGCGAGGTGAAAACTGGTTCCCACCCCTGTGTGATATTAATTTCCTGCTTATCTGTTTGGGCACAGCTTATTTGACACATCTGCTCTTTGGCAAAACGCAAAAACCGCTCCCGGTCCAAGAATATTCCAACTGTTGACATTTTGCTCATGCACGATTAAGACATTCTCCTACTCTGGGGAGGTGAGTGTGCCAGGTCAACTTACCGCTTCTCTCTCCCTGTCCATGATCGTTTCCAGTTCTTCAAAGTGCCGCAGTTTGATCTCCAATTTCTTCATTTGCGTCTCCACCAACAAGGCGACCAGGCTCTTGATCTTACGTTCCTCGACCGCCGCCAAGTGCTGGCAACAAAAGGCATTAATTCTTGTTGAAGAAAGATGTTGTCTAATTACCCAAAGAATTTAGAATGGAGGATTTTTTCACGTGAATATTCATAGAAAACTACCCTCAGTCCCATGTAGTTTCAAAATAACTTTCATGCACGTGAAACTGCTCATGAAATTATCTTCCAGTGATGAAGACAAACCCTGGTAGGATTCGACCCTCTCACCTTTGCTTTGACCGCAGCGGCAGCGAGTGCGGCAGCAGCTGCCGAGGCTACATTCCCTTCCGACAGCTCCTCTTCGTGCTTCTTGACGGCTTCTGGCTTCTCCTTGGGTGCCTTGTCCTCCTCCTTGGCCTCTTCTCCTTCCTTCTTCTCTGTCGTCTCACCATCGGGTGTCTCCTCTTTGGAAGCGGAGTCCTCCTCTGGCTTCTGCTCGCTGGCCTCTTGGGAATCTTCCTTGCTTGCCTCCTGTTTCATAGAAAACAAATTAAAAAGAACGGTCTCTCAACTTATCAGCTGCCCCAAAAATGAGTGACAAGGATAATAGCTGTTGATCAGTTTTACCCTGAAAGAGACAACTTTTTTTCTGATATCGCTGCAGTGCATTTTTTTCAGAAGTTGAGCCATTCAGAGTTTTTAGAGTAACTCTTTGTGGCAGAGCCAAGTTCCCTCAACCCCCTGTTGATTGGTGAAAATAACTCGTCACTTTGAGGGTTAAGTTTCAAGGCATTTTCGTAATTCATGCTAAACCAATGGAGACCCTTCAATATCTACAGGGAGCTTCGAGAGGACTGAGAAAGAGAGATCCTAGCCGTGATCAAGTTACAAGCAACAGAAAGTTGTTAATATGTGAATGTGTTAATAGTTTGCTGCAAAGTAATTGATTTAGAAAGATTGCTTAAGGTTCCAAGCAAATGTACCTGGGGGTGGGCGGGGTAAAACAAACAAACACCCCAACAAACAAACAAACAAAAGTAAATATAAATAAACTACTCCTTTCCTGCTGGTATCTGAACTCGGATAAGGTTACCAACTTCATGTTTTGTGAACTTAAGTTTTGTTTTACGTCACTTAAATGTTCTGAACTCTCATGTTACCTTTGCTTCCATCGTGGCACCTTCAACCTTTACTTCTCCTGTCTCCATCTTCTCAGCGGCCTCCTCTGCCTTCTTCTCTGGCCCCTCCCCCTCGGGGATCTTCTGAGGAGAGGGGGTCTGTGTTTCCATGGCTTCGCCTCCATCTTTTTCCTTTTCTTCGGTGGCTTGCGATTCCTCTTTCACTTTGATTTCCTGGGGGAGGCCAGAAGACAGCAGTGAAAGCCAATGATACGTTCAAGGCACCGACCGCGTCTTTTTATCCGCTGAACTCCAGAGGGATAAAGCTTGTAATGAACTCTCTTTATGATTTCCCTATGCATAACAAAACTTGTGGTTTAAAAAAATTATAAAAAAGTTTCTACAACAAGGTTTTTCTAATTTGAATTCCTCTACTGCAAAATACGTTCCATTTTATTAACCAGTGATATAAAAACAAATTACAAATAACCTGACAAAGAATACTGACGATTAGAAACAACAGGATTTATGACTGGTCCCCTCAATGCAGACTGTACAAGAGAGTGAGCTGGTCTACATTGCTGACACAATTTATCCCTCATAAGACATCCCTTTCGAAACATTTAATATCTACCAATGATCATGTTTCACTTAACTCCTAGCTACACGACCAGACTGAACGCTCAGTCTCAAATTGGTTGATCCACTTCAGGGTTGAAACAGAGGTAACTTTGTTGCACTGAACTGTGGGGATTTACCCATCAGTGCACAAGATTTATTCCGACCCAGTGAGAAATCTACCTTGAGCTACGTTGTTTGCAAAAGCACGGAATGGTAGTGTTTTACGAAATCATGCATAAGGGAAATGCCATGAGCAGACGGGGAGAAAACAGCTTAACCAATTTGTTCATGTTTACAATAGGCAGAAGAAAATGAATAAATTCGATTCCCTGCAGGACTTTTGAGATCACTGTGTGGCCAAGTTGTGGGAGTCAAGGATGTGCCATGTGAGTGTGACATGGTTAACGCATCAATGCATTTGACTACTTTTCGAATGAATGTGTACCCCAAAAAAAATCAACCCAGTTTCTGCTAAAGGTGAGTGCAACTGAGTTCAGTCATCTCTTTAAAGCAATGTTCCACAGTTCCACCAGCCAGAACTAAGCTACGTGTGAGTCTGCGAAGGCCACATTAGGCGCCTCACACCATCAGGGTGACACCCCACGGAGACAGAGGTACAGGAGTTGTCTCCTCCGCCAACCTCTCTAATCCCAAAGTGCCATGCATTCCCCTTGTAACAGCTGAAGTCTGGGGACGGGGCAACGGGGCCACCCATCCTCTGACAATTAACCCCATTAAGGCCGACCCTGGCCATGTCCCTGGATTGCCATGTTCATGAACCTGGCTGGCTCCACTGTGCCAGATGGAACAGACTATCAATCAACCGTGCCCCCTGATAGCTTGGTTTAAGGGCAGGCTTGGAATTTTTCTCCTGCATCTCATAGGCCTACAAATCTTGCTGAATGAAACGCTGACCCTGCAGCATTATCGAGTTCCTCGCATTGAAGAAGATTATAAAATGCACAGACTGTGGCCAAATGCAGGATGACGAAGGAAAGTTAGACATTTTACACAATATACACATTTCAGGATTAAACATACCAGGAAAAGTATTTAAAGAAAAGAACAAACCGGTCTGATATTTCTAAGAATTAGTGAATATGTAAGGCAATCTGGACTTTGCAAACTGGCGGAGTTTTTCTCACAACTAAACGAATATATTTCTACCTGTATTTTGCTCAAAGGAGTTAAGTATACAATCAGCACATTCCTAATCTTCCACAAGATGGCGAAAACGTTTAGCATATATAGTTGTATGTGAGACTGAATCAAGATTTTCTTTCACACACCCATTCCCGTGAAAAGGGGGAAAATGAAATTTTAGCACCTGCGGTACAATACTACCAAGCAGTGGGACACTATGATTGGAGTCTTGTCTCCAGATCTTCCAAAGGGTTATTCATGTATATGTACATGTAGGGCCTACATCATTCCATAAACAAACAAATCCAACTTTTAAATGCAGCTTGAACCCGACTAAAATCTTTTTCCCCTACATTTGTTCAGTCGCAACTGAATCTTTAAATCCCTCCACCCAAATAAAAAATGAGGAAATAAAAAAAACGGTTAAGATATGCATGACTGAATGTGCCTCATCCGTAACCAAAGACACACAGAGTCTAAAAAGATCTAAACCTGTATTTGAAACTGGCATTTTGGGGAAGGGGTTGAGAATGGAGGACAAGTATCTTTATGACTGTGATTAGTTCTCCAGATGGTGTACATTGTTTCAGTTATTTGGGTCGTAAAAAATCAAAGTTAATTTGGGGGAACAAAACATAGTGCTTTTTTTGCCTTTTGTCTGGTCAGGGCCAACAGTCACATTTGCTTTTATTTCCATTTAAGTTCCACCTTGAAAATTAAATCAAGTAGGGTGTGGAAATAAAAGTCTGGGATTTTGTAATGAAGTCTGGGTGCAAGATTACAAAATTGGCCAGGTGCCCCGACTGACATGTACTTGTACATGAACAAGGTTACTGAGACAGTTCTGGGAGTAACTGTGTAAAACTACATGTACTTAGAGGCATCTGCCTATTTTAAAAGAGGGGTTCGTGTGCTTACAGTTCAATCAAATACCATGTAATTTACGCTGTGCACAAAACAAGTACATGGATAATGAGAAATGTTTGAGGTAATAAACGGCCAGGCCAGCTATTCCCTCATTTTTGTGAGGTAGGCTAGGCAACTGATAGCTGCTCCACACAGAAAGACTGTCTCTACCAGTTTGGGGAAAGCAACCACTAAGAGATGACTAGGGGGTAGGGGATATCAGGCAGGCCACAAGGTATCCCTCAGACATCTTGTCTAATATCCCAGGACCTGATGACAGGTGCGATAATGGACCAATTTGTGGGAAGATTGGCAGAACGGTTCAGCCGGCTACCATCAATCACCTGCGACTGCAAGTGTTGATCCTGGTGTTACAAATTTCAGTGGGTCTGGTCCACTATTTAGAAGCAAATCAAGGTTCACTTAACGTCAGAAATTTCTTAACACTGCATATAAATCATTTTCCCTTAGCAAATTCATTTTTTTCTATATGGGTGTTTGGTGTGATTTACGTCTTCCTGGCACATTTACTGTGTGGCTATTGAAATGTGCGGGCCATGTCTCTGCACTCTACTTTGGCCCCAAGCAACTATTTCACGTCACAAAACTGTTTCTCTTCACATTACAATGGCTGTTAGGGTATTTTATACAAAAAGAAAACGAAGCTTTGAAAAATCAAACAAGAAATGCTAATAGCCAAGGTTGCTCCACCAAATGCACAATAACAGAGTCTCTAGTGTGTACACATTGTGCCTCCACTCCCTAGTCTTCACAAAAAGATCCCATCAAAGAAAGTGTGACTTTAAATGGATACAAAGACCACTGAACAACCTAGACTTGTTGCCAATTGATGCACAGACAACAAAACCAGGGTTTTCCCCATTTTGGCAACAAAAAGAATTTATATACATGTAGTGAGACTGCACTTTGTCCAAATGTGGACAGTAAAGCAGGATTTCGAATCCAGCCAATGCACTTTATGAAATGAGTCGTACAACTTTTTTGTCATTTCGTTGAGAGAAGCGCACTGCCATGAACAGAGTTTAGGAAAAGATCGTTTCTGAGAAGTTGGGATCATCTGGTTGTTTTATTCATGTTTTTTGTTACTATGGGAAAGTTGACAAACAGGAAATGACCCACTGGGCCTGTTTCTCCAGGTTCTTCACAAATTTGTCAACAGAAACTTCACATCAAAGGAAGGCAGTGCAGGGATAATCTTAATTTCTGATAAAATATCCAAATGGATTTTTTTAAATAGACAGGTCAGCACAGCCTTCCCTGTTTTTTTGGTTGATTCGTTGGGCTATTCCATTCAGTTATTCTGTATCACTCACTCGAGCATGCTTTTGTCACCACGGTTTTCAAGTTATGTCCGGCCCCTTGGGGCACAGGAAGTAGAGACGCAATTGCAATTTGGGTGGCTTTTGGCCATCAGTCCTACCATGCCTCCCCAACAGTTAATTAGCTCTGGTTCTCCCGCAAGCAATGCCACAGAGCCAATGTCCGTTCTGACTAAAAATCCATTCTGCGCTTCATTCAGCATCTGCTTTTAGCCTATTTTTGCCCACAGACACAACCTAACCCGATGGAGAATTCTTCAGCCAACCCGTCCGCAAATTCGGTGCTGGGCGGAACAGATCCCTGGGGAAGCTTGCGGCTTTGTGACAGAGTGTAACAATCCCCAGGTTTGTTTTGCCACTGTAAATATTTCCGCGCCCCGGTTGAATCAAGCCCTAGAGGGGGGTTGATACAGATGAACCACTGCACATTCCCCTCCGGTCAAACAACAGAGGAAGGGTAGGCACAGTAGGGACCCAGGCTAGCATGATGCTGGGGGCTTGTGGTGACAGTAGGAAGCTGTCCTCACCACTCCATTGAATTGACAGTGTCTCCACGCACCGGACTGTGGCGGTTTTTGGACCAGGAGACAAGGGATTTATTGCACAGTGGGAGATTTTTTTTTTTCAGGGAACCTGGGTATTTTCAACACCCTGCTATGAGGTGCCTCTCGGGGCATTTAGAACAATTACTTTAAACATTTGCAGATGAAGGAAAGTGCTGTCTCTATGCAGTGCGAGGCTTCTTTTGGGAATTTTTAAAATTCTTTTCTCCATGGAACAACAAATATGGTAACCCTGCAAAATTATTAATGTTGCAAAGCGGCAGAACAAGCTCTGAGCAGAGAATGAACCCTGACAATGTTGACATGTTCTGTTTTTCCCATTTATGGAATCTTTCCTTGTAACCTGCGTGATTGTCTTAGCATTCAAGTCCTGTAAGACAGTATAGGGGTGGTTGGGTAGAAAGCAACACAAGGCACATTTTTTTTTATTCTATTCCTATTCTGAAGCATATTCTTCCCAGATGTGAGTTTGTGTAAGGGTGAAATTAAGCATCAAATATTTCAGGACAATTAAAATTCATGACTTTGCCAGTTGCAACAGTTGTCTCACTTCTGTAGACACAACAAACCCTCAGAAATTCACAGCAATTGGGACGAAGGGGGTTATGTTAAGGGGCGTACAGCCATGACCATCTTTAGAAAACTATTGAAGCTGTTTCAGTGATCCATGCTAACACTGTTCTTTGACATAAAAGCCTCAAATTTCTAGTTTAGTAACGTCATCCTGGCTTGTTACAAAAGCGTTTAGAAGCATTTTGAATACATATCCCAATAACAATCCTCCTTTTGATTTCTAAAATGCAGCTGGCAACCAGGGGATTTGCAGAGAGAACTGATCTCAACTTCCTCATCCACCTATGACAAGAGGCACACACAAAGCCTACCTTGTCAGCGTTCTCCTTGCTGGTAGCAGCTGCTCCTTCCCCGCTTCCGTCGGTGCCTCCTGCCTCCGTCTTGCCCACTTCTGCCCCTTCCTCCATCCTCTCGGGTTCGGGGATGGTGCCGGCGATTCCGCTGGCGTCTAGCAGGTGGTTGTCGGTGCTCATGCCGGCCCGGGTGGAGTCCTGGATGCGCTTGATGTGGGTCTGGACCAGAGCCGTGGGCACTTCCTCCTTCATCTTGCTGAACTCCTCTGGAATGACAACCGGTCCGAGAAATTGGCTTCAATCTCGACACCCTGGACCAGAGCCGTTTGTAGAGACGGTAGTGCCAACTCCAGATTTTGGAACCAAAATGGCTGTTCGTTATGTGTGCACTGACGCATAGTCCACCATTTTGGTTCCAACAATTGAGACGCTCATGTCGCAACTCATTCTCTATAAACAACTCTGCCCTGGTCATTTCTCAAAGGAATCTGCCAAAATCATCCGTTGTGTAGGAATCCAATGGCAAATTCTCTGTACTTCCAATGTTCAAAGGAAACAGAGCCCTGTGTGAAGTATTAAAGGCCAGGCTTTACCTTTATCAAAATCCTACAGATCCATTTGATGGGTTTTCAAGGATTTGGGTATAGTTGGGTTAAAAAACGTAATGATACATTTGCTTCTTAGCAAAATTGCTTGGAAATGTGTCGGTTTAAAGGTCACAACAAATTACAAGCAGAAAATGCAAAATCCACAACATCTACCTTTCCAAAAAATCTGCGTAGTTTCTTATTGGTAGCTGTAATCCTTGTGAAGCAGCCATGACATCAAAAGCAGATTTTTGGCAATGTTATTGTCTCTTATTATATACCATTATTGCTTCAATCAGTCAAACATTTGTCACTGAAATTGTTTACCATTGGTATGAAAAACATTCATAAAAATCAAACAAACCCTCCATATGTTTTATGAAAAGAGTATGAGGCTTAAATAAAGCTAAAAAAAGTCGGCAGCACACTACAAGCTGACTTTTCTTCATTTATGTCTATTAACCCTCCTATGCTGGAGTCACTCTTTGGGTCACTTGGTAAACACCTCAAAGAAGCACAGCTGTGTCCTGTTGTGCACTACACCAACATGCAAGAGAGTGACCTTGGGCACTTGTGCATATTTGTGCTGTAAAACTAAAGGAGGGTTAATGTTTGACACGTTAAGCATATCTGTCAGTTTCAGTCATTGGAATCCTTACCGATGGCTGCCTTGGCTGCAGCGCTAGCCACTCTGGGATCCACGGCTGACGCTAGGAAAGCCACAGTGCTCATGAGAGGGTTGCCTGACTGGCTGAAAGGGATGGGCTGGTAGCTGAGGGGTCCTGAAAGGAAGATAGGAGATGAGGGGGGGTTACTGGGTGGACAAGTGGTTCTTAGGTTACGTTTTCCTTGGATTCCAGAAAAACCTAACGGGGGAGACAGTGGACATAAAGAGTAAAGAGTGTAGGACATCATCGACTTTCAGCCACATTTAGTTTAAAAGATAATTTTTCCATTTTTACTATTTGTTTTATGGATGTAACTTGGGTTGCAGTTACCAAGGACTGTTGAGTAGTGTCTATAGGAGACATACAGAACAGCGTACACTTTTCAAAATGTCAAGTAATGGGGAGTCAAGTTGGCGAAGTAGGTCTTTCCTCGCCTTTCACCTCCGCGGCCCGGGTTCAATTCCCAGCTCGGTCCACATGTGGAGTTGGGTTTCCGTACCTCCCTCATTCCTTGGGTTTTTACACAAAATTTCTTCTCTGAGGTTTTCCTCCCACCTCTGAAACTGTGACTGCCTCTTACTGTCTCCTCTCTATATATAGGTTGATGTCGGTCGTATGGTAGCTGCATGAGATGCCCTTGTATGCCATTGGGAGATTTGAACATAATGGTATGAACTTCGTGCTTGGTTAACTGAATAAATGATTTAAAAAGTGATCACAAGCTCACTTGATTCTTGAGACATGTGTGTATGATGTTACCACAACTCAATAAACTCACCACCCACCCCTGCAAACATTCACGTCTTTACTCTGGACCGAGTCAGTTAATCCAGGCATTTCGATCCCATTTTACCTAACGCGTTGGGTCCGTCTTCCAGGAAGGTGTCCTCGATGGGCAGCCGGAGGAAGTGCAGGATGCATTCGTCCTGGGTGCGGGAGCCCACGTGCTCCGACACCTTGTTCCAGTCGTCACGGTACATCTCTAGGGCTTCTAGGAGGAGCAAGGTCTCCTGATCCGTCCACTCCTTGGTCACGCTGGCCGAGGTTGACTTGCCCTGAAAGTGACATCAAAAACGTCTTAATTCTCAGGGTCAAGAGAGGAAATTTTGGGACGTCTTGCCATGGGAAAGAGGAGAAGGGATGGCTCAAAAAATAGTACTTGACTGAATACCAAACTGCTATCAAAACGTGGGAAGCCTGTTACTCTAAAACTGCATCAAGACCCCATTTGGGGGAACTAGGCTGGCGGTGCCGGTACCCACCTTTGAAGGCTGTGATTTCTTGGCTGCGTACAGGTCCGTCCGCAGGCCAAAGTTCTGCAGGTCACCGCTGGCTTTCTCTTTGTTCCCTCCCTTCTCAGTCAGGTTGGCCACTTGCTGGGAAGCCGACTAAAAGTCAAACCAAACCACCAACAAATACCACCTGTTATCTGAACTCCAAACAGAATTTGGCCAGTTCTTAGTGTAACCTTTGGTGCTGGAATATAGATGTCCCCCCTAAAAATATAATTACTGTTATCACAACTTAGATTTGAAAGAATCCTGAGCAAGTGGTGCGATTTAAATTTGCTCAATTCCGTTTTACAAATTTTTCTTCAATGCTCCCCACCTGCTGCGATTTCGCTGGCTGCATGGGCTGCAATCCGGAGGGCGTGTCAGCCAGAACGTGGAAGTGGGAGGTGGGCGGGGGACCCATGGGGGCGGCACGATTCTCAGCATCCACCTGGTAGTTGATGAGACCCCACTGCTCCAGGAAAGCGTGTACTCTGAGTAAAACGGGCATTTAGAACACCTGAATATAAGTACACTTAAACAAGACAAGTGGGGTCCATTTGAAAGATTGTGTGGATTTTGTGCACATTCAGATGTAAACTGGCACCATGTCTCATACACAATTGCCAAGACAAGAAGGCAGCACAGGACATGGGGTAAGAACTGATGAAGTGAGTACCAAAAGATGATTACTGTATATTTTACCTCATAATAGCACACACATCACCAGCAAGGTTCCTACGACAAGCCGTGAAAGTCAGGTACTCTGTTGGGTTCAGACGATACGTGTCAATCATGAAGTTGCGATATGCCATGAACCTGCGCAGGTAAAATAAGTGGAAATCAGGACATATGAAAGTGACTCTTTGAAGACTTTTCTGAATCTGTCTGATGAGCATTTTAAACTTGTCTGCAGTCAGATACTATCTAGCAATGGGAGACTGTCACTGGAGTCTTGTCTCCTGATCATCCCAATGGTTATACATCATGCTGCAGACAAGGAAACAGGTCCTCCAGACTATACCACAGACACTGAACATGACAGGTTCTAACTTTTACACTTGACTGAAGACTGAAAAATAATTCTGGCGAAACACTCCCTAAAAACACACTGCCCGCAACTTGTGGCAGCTGATCTTTCCTTGTCATTCTTAAATCAAATTATCAAATTCTTTTAATTATAATTCCAAGAAATCTTTGTGTTTCTTTTCAACGTGACAAAGAAGGAGACGTCGGGAATTGCAAAGACATTTGAGCACTGCTCAGACACTTTGAGGAAGGGTAGATGCAAAACAGCTTTTCTAGGACGAATGGGAAGGGTCCCGGAAACCGAAGAGATGCCTGACTTACACCTCGGCAGTCTTTGACTTGTTCTTGGCGTTGAAGAATTCGGGCAGGGCGCGCCTCTCAATGGCGTGGATGCTGTTATAGTCAAACCAGGCCGAGTAGCTGGGCACGATGATGTGATGGGTCTGCTCCGTCACCTGCTCCTCTTGTGCCTCAGGCGCTTTGCTCTCCTTCTCCTCAAGCTCCGCCCCCGTCACTAGGGCTGCCGATTCCCCGTTCAGCTGAAAACCAAGGGAGGGTCAAGAGAATCGTGATATTCAGCACATTCACGGTGGAGTCCATTGGAGAGCGCCTGATACTAACTGCAGCCTCATTCTCTTAACTAACCTAAACTCTTCCAAGATCTTTTGGAATCAATCAGTGGGATTCCATCGACTGATTCCATCAACTGGCAGTTTTGAGGATATCTGAGGGAGGGGAAGGGACAGCTTTGTCGGAAGGGACAATAGTGATGGTGGGCTGTCCAGGTTACCTTGTCCTGGGACTCGTCCTGGGTGTCGTCCAGCTCTTGCAACGAGCCTCCCTTGATCGGCTGCAACTCTGTGTCCCGTCCGCTACGACTTGAAACTGACCAGGAAGAAACAACACCATATGCATAAATGGAGCAGAAAAAGTCCCCCCGTCTCTAGCCAGATCGAGGCACTTAAAATTGAGGTGCTGCAATTTGACTGTGGGGTACTTCAATCGACCTGTTTACCAATGACGCCACGCTTTACTTGCGTCCCTTCCTATGACACTCAGAGGATCACGGGCCCCTCTGGCTCCATAAGAAAGGGCACAAGTGAACGAAGTGTGGCATCATACCGACATAGGCCTACTACCACAACCAAACAACCAGGACAACAACTAGCATGCTTTGGACAGATTTATGGTTTCAAAATCAAAGACCACATTGGGTGAAATGTTCCCTTTCTTTCTGTTGTCTAACAGGGGTCTGGTTTTTAGTGGGGTTTTTTGTGTGTCTGTGGTCAGATACTATCTAGCAATGGGAGACTGTCATTGGAGTCTGGTCTCCTGATCATCCCAATGGTTATACATCATTCCACAGACAAGGACGGCAGGCAAAGAAGCATGGTGCTTCGAAAAAAACTTCACACGAAACACAATTCAGGGAAGATAATATGAAACAGCAAGATAGATGTGATATATTCTATCATCAAATTTGATATCACATAAAAATGGAAAAAAAAAATCTACCCAATTTCTGTTTGACGTCAAGCAAACCAGCTAATGGACGGCAAAACCTTTCGGATCACTATGGGGAGGCCTTCCTACCTATTTTGGGTAGTTGGACCTCTTCCACGGCAGGGACAGTGGCTGGATTTTCCATGTCCTTGGTCAGGTCCTCGGGCTCCTCGTCCCGAGGAATTCTTTTCTTCATGATGGGCGCCGGACTGCGACCCCTGTGAACAGATCGACCAATCGCAGGTGAAGAAGCGGGGAAAGTGTTCGGCTGCAGAGTGGAATAACACTGTCGTGCGGAGTGTGAACATGACTGTTTCCATCTAAAAAAGCAAGCTCTGTCGGTCGCCTTTTGAGTGGATGAGATTTCCAGAGATTTCCTTGTAAAATAGTTTAATTCTGCCCTCTCCCAAAAATTATACCTGGAATCACATTAAAAACGCAGGCGCAAATCAGCAAGTGAAATGCCTTTACAAATTGACATTGTCAGTTACAGAGGGGAACAGATCCGAACCGTGAGGCTCCACATGTGAGTCCAGCTCGTGGACTGGGACTGATCTTTTGGATCTTACGGTTTCTTTTTCCTCTTGTCAGAGGTCGGCGAGGGTGACCTCTTCCTCTTCTTCCCGGCACCGCCTCTCTTCTCTCTCCTGTCTGTTTCCGGACTATGGGCGTGCTGCACAAAAAACAATCCATGACCAGTTTCAAACCCGTTTACAGTTGCAAACAAACTTCAGTTCAATCTCTGGCCTCAAATGAAACAACATGATTGGCCGCAAGTGGAGATGAAGTAAGCTAGAGGGTCCCCTGCTCAGGATACTGACTTCATCAAAGGGAAGCCTGAGAGGAAAGACAGAGATCATCCCGAAACACACATTTGGAAACCCTCCACAGCGTTTTCAAAAGCCAGATAACACATACCTCTTCCACCATGGGCTTCGTTGGGTAAACCTTTCGTCTCATGTGTCCTGATCCCACGTTGACAACTTCCTTAGTTTCTCCCTGCTTCACAAACACAAGCGAAATATGTACAGATCATCCTTCAACAGAACTTTTCTTAACTGAAGGCAAATCCTGTGACTCTGCAAATGGTCAACAGGCCTTTGGCAAGGCGTTAAAGTGTGACAAGTCACACTTGGATATAACAGGTGAATATACTCACATCTTCATATATTTCGTAGTCTTCAACATTCATCCACTCGTTGAACTCTTCGAGATCCAGCACCCATTTGGCGTTAACCTGGGGAGAATGCCCCCAACAGTGAGACAAATGTTGAGACACAGTGACAGATGCAGAGCAAATGAGGATGAGAACACAATACCGACACACGTGCAACATAGAATCTTATTTAACTTTAACCCTGCCAAATGCGGCACAATGCATCATGTGAAAAAGTCCGATGCACTTTGATGCACTTGGTAATCGACAGCAGCCGAATAAACGGGTCATGTTGGGACAAGGGGAGCTAGTCCCATTGAACAATGCCACTGTTGGATCTTGTGGTGGCTGGCAACCACAGACTCCGAGGCTGTTTGGCCTTGGGCGAGTTGACCTGTTGAACGTTGTTACACGGGGCAGACAAGCCAATTTGACAAATGATGCAAACTGATGTGTCTGGCAGGGTTTCTAGCCAAAGTACCCTGGAGGGTGAAGCTAAAAGGCTTAAGTTTCCTTCAAAATAGGTAGCAAATAGCGGTCAAACCTAGAACTCTCCCGTACAGATGAACAGGTCGTATTTAATAATCAAAAGGCACTGAAATCCTCCGTATATCAAGAAAATAAAAGGTAAGAAATCAATGATCTTCTGTGGTGTATGTCTCCATTGGGGAAGACAGGCAGTGCGGACTTACCTCCCAGGGACCATCGTAGGTGACCCCAGGCTCAGGGTCACCAGGCACCTCTGACGCAGGCACCCAGGTGTCATAGCTGTCTGGGTAGTAGCACCAGTGGACCAGCATGGACTTCTCCCGTCGCAGGATGGGACGAATGTACTCCTCACCTGCAAGAGGTTCAGGTCAAGAATATCAACCCTTCGACTCACAAGGGAACCTGGACAGCGAGCAGGGTTCTTGCCACGGTGGGCAGCGCCGGACGGCACCACCCGGTACTGCAAATTTCCGCCCGGCAATCAGGGTGGAAATTGGCTGTGTCACCCAGCACGGATTTTCCAAAAAATGTACTGAAATATTACTGAAAATGTAAATGTACCAATTCGATCGTATTTCAAGCATCAGAAAGCATAAAGAACTGCGCTCACTATGCTTTGTCATCCAAAAATTTACCCGGCACTAAAATGGTCCTAGCTGGAACACTGACAGCGAGTATCATCTTGGGCAAAGTGGAGGCATCTTGAAATATGGGGACTTTCTTTAACGGAGCCACCAAGCATTTTGGAGGTATACATGACATGACGTGTAAGATCAAATCACTAGCCCTTTGTGCCGTTTAAAGAGGTCAGTTTGTTTACAAACATAAAACCGTGTAGGGTTTCACAAGACCGCGTCAATTTCAAGGACAACTTAGATAAGAACAACATTGAAAGTTTTGATACCGTTCACTGATAAAGATGCAACATGTAAGCAGCAGTCAATGCATGAACCCAATGGGACACCAATGTACTTGATTTTAGCTTACCATCATTCAGGGAAGGCGGGGGACCATACACTATATGTGTTGCCATCTCAATGTCCTCAGTGACCGAACCCTGGGTTTTTTGAGCAAAACAAAAACCACGACAGGTGCAATAAGAAACCTTAAAAACCTCGATGTGATGTTTTTGATCTTACAAATTTACATTCCCTAACCAGCACATCAAGCCAAGGACTCATAAACTTAAAATTATGGACTCAGAGCCTTTGTGACTTAACATGCCGCTTTAAATAAAAACTTCAATGGCATGTCTGAAGACAACATAACGGGCAAACGTTTAAACAGCACTGCTGAACAAAGACATCTGCTGGGCACAGAAAATGCTGGCTTTGCAAGAGACCCGGTTACCAGCTAAAATGTCAAACACTCTATACTCCTCGTGACTGGTTCTACGCAGGGCTTCCGCTGAACCACACAAATCAGCTCAGTGGTATTAAGGTATCCAACAGGGAACCAACCTGGTGCCTCTTAATGATGTCTTTCAACTTAGCCATCAGCTTGGGCTCGACCTCATCCTGAATGTAGATCACGGGCAGGGACAGGCAGCGCGTCTGCAGCAGGTTCTTTTCAACGCTCATGAACATCTCCACATTGCGGTCCATGCGGGAGGGCGACTGGAAATCGAACCGCCGCCTACCAAAAGAGTGGCAGAAAATCAAAGAAGAGACTTCTCACTGACTCAAAAATTTGTTCTACAGATTTTAACAGTCAAAATGGCTTGTTACGTAATTTGCGACACATCGTGTGAAAGTTCCACAGAACCTCTTCCTCCCAAGAAGCATTTTAGCTTTGAGCTGAAGTTGGAGTAAACCCATGACCCAAAGTGCTACATGTTACTAGAAATCAACCCTCAAGGAACTTGAATTGGCTACCAAGTCCGTTCTACAAATACAAATTTGGAATCAAACAGATTCTAAATACAGCATCATTCAACCCTAACCCACGGCAGTACAAAACACAGCACAATGGAACGTCGCTATACGGAACACCGCTATACCGAACATTTAGCGTGGACCCCGTCATGTTCGTTATAGCGGTGTTCCACTGTACAGGAAAATTACTTGAAGTTGATCATTTCTGAGACTTTCATTTCACCGCACCATATGTAGAAGTACGGTAAACGGCAGCCAGATAAAAACGTTGGAAACCTGGTTACAGGCTTAACAGTTTACACTTGCTCTTATTTGGCTCTATCCAAATAACAGCTACAGGGATCAAAGCCCTTCTTCTTTCTTTCTTTCTAAATGAACGTACCATCCTTGGTCACTCTTAAACTTATAGACCGCCATCAGGATGTTGCATAGTCCACCACCTGACTTGAAGTCCATAAAGCAACGCATCTGTAATAACGACAATATTTTATTAACATAGGACAAGGGATTCCAAGACAGCAAATCAAAGACTGATCATCTGAACAGAAGAGAAGGAAGAACGATATTTCCACGATGTGTCCACTGCAAATCTACAACTGATAATCTCACTGAGCCATTTTTCTTTGGGGGGGGGAGATAAGGGGCTATCCTTCCAAAAACTTTCTACAGAGTAATCATTAGTACATTCATGTCCTTGTGGATAAGATTCAACATATCCATTCAGTTATAGATTGCTAAAAGGCAACAGATCACATGCAACAGGTGTTTTCTAACTGAACTTCAACCCACAATTTTGTTCCTCCATGATGTAACACAATTTGGAAATTCTGTTTGTATTCAACTTTTACCTTCAAAAGATAAACAAGCATGTTTGTGGGTGAAAACATCCTCTCTTATTCAACATCTGACAGCATTCTATTTATTTATGAGACGAACCAGTCAATTTATTTTATTGGAGTAAAATGAAAGTATTGTCCTCTTTTCTCTCTCTTTGATCCGTTCAGCAGGCAGTGTTACCCTTCGCTCACAGCGTTTGTGTGTTCTGCCATTGGGCATATACATTAGCAAGGCTGTGTGCAGGTCTTGATTCCATTGCTAGCCCCTACATTAGAAGGACCCGTATGCTGTGGCACCAACCTGCTGATCAACCATTTTTTTTCTGGCCTACTTGCATTTGAGCACAGGAACAGTGGTGTTTCAACATCATTTTGAGATAAGTTTAATGATTCAAAATAATAAATTTGAAAGATTACAGTTTGTTTTCAGCTGTCGAGGGAAACTTTGTCTTCTTTTCACAGTTTCCAGGGGAATCTATTTGAGTCTTGATTTCAAGCAATGGATTCCATTTTAACGGACTGATCCCGCAACGTCTGCCTGTGTTCCTTGATCGCACGAAATCACTGGCCCTATTGATCGTATTTCCTTGGGAAATGACGAGACTCACTGGTAGTCTGGTGAGGGCAGGGTTGCTCACGTGTCTGCCAAATGCATCTTCCTGGAACTGCACCAGCTGTGCCAAGAGCGAGGCCAGGCCCTTGTTGGTGGGAGGTTCTGCCTGAATCCACTACTCAGAGAGAGAAAAAATGATTTTATTAGGAACTATGACTGACAAATTATACAAAAAAATTAGTACTCTAAGCAAAATTTTCACTTGCTACCAATGTGTAAAGAAAAATGAATGCAATTACAGTCATGACAGTGTGAGATACTTCAAACATGTCAAAACCATATTTTTCTCTAGGGGCCTGTGCCTACTCCATCTCTGTTGGCAGTAACATGTAGGCTAAATGTTATCCAATAAATACATCCCTTGGTTTTTAAATCTACTCAAAAGAAAAAAAAAAGATCACAGACAACCACTTATCAATTAGGGCCCCTAAGGCTATGCCGCATCTCAGTATGTAAGAATTAAACCTTAAGTTTTGCCATGTTAACATTTAATCAATTGAATAACAGCCTTGCCTAGGCCCACTGCAAGGGGATTTTTTTTAATATGGAACTTATGTTAAACATTAATTAAATCTAAATAAACAGCCAGTGCCTTAATTTGTGGTCCACTGCACAGACTACAGAGCAGAAGGGTGGACCTCCATGATCATACAGAAGCAAGTGTACCACTCATGACATGTACACGTACATGTAGGCCTATGTGCCAAACGTGTTAGCAGCAGCACTGTGTTAGCGCTATACACATGCGTAACGCTTTGTCTATGGGATCGTGCAATCAAACAACAAAAGACGGAAATATACAACTGGAGTGATCAATCATTATGCAAAACCGGCAGTACCAAAAAAGTTCATTTTAACACCAAAAGATTCCTACCTTCTTGCAGTTTCTTTGAAGCCATGATTTCACGTTGTCCAGTTGCGAAATCGTTTCGGCAGACTCGAAAAACTTAAAATCTGCACCGCCGTCTTTTTTCCTGACAGCCATTTTAGTTGGCCTACACATTTTTACCATAGTCAGCAAGTGCTGTTACGTTAAATAAATATGTGCTACAACAGTACCCCAAATTCCTAAAATATCAACCCTGGTTACGTACCAGATATTAATAGGTTGATATTATTTTATTTTGTTGATAAAATAGGATACTTTTTTGAAATTTGTATTTTTTTCCTATGTCGGAATGGCAAATTGTGACTTGGGTGAATAGCCGTTGCATAGCGCCCTCTTTAGCATCTCCCAAGAAAGCTTCGGCGACAAGGGTCTGTATCTCCCCCCCCAGCAAGCTAGCCTCGGATACGTTAAAAAAAAAAAAAAGAAAAACTGCAGACTTGAAACGCCTGACGTTTGCAGTAGCACTGACCGAACTAAAGCGAACTAAAAACGATGATAAAAAGAAAAGCTGGTTTTGTTTCTTTTCTTTATAAGCTGATGAAGTTGAATGAGATTTTGTTGTAAATGAAGAAAAATTATCAATTTTCGACAGAGTTTTGCATAGGGGCCTAAATTTGCAAATTTTGACTTTCAACCCACTTCAAAATTCCAGTTTTTAAATTTTATTCCCATTTACTTCCAGTAACTAATATGTTTCCAAGATAAATTTAGACTGCCTAACTTTGTCACAAATTATAGACCACAAACACTCATACTTCAAACTATTGTAAAGTCCTCCCCAGTCTAATTTCCTCCAGACTTGGCCAACCCTCCCCTTTTTTTGCTACCATAAACTTATTCCGTGAACACTGTACAAATGAGACACAGACAAAACCTCAAGCATGTTCATGAAATTACATTTTGTGTAATGACGCCAACTCAGTATATACATGAATGTCATATGATTCCATGATCCATACATGTAGAAACGTTGCCAGGAAGCGATCACACAAAAAATTATGTCCTTTCTTACAAAAATAGCACGTTCAAAGAACAGTCTAATTGGATTCCAAATCAGCAGCAAGGGCCAAATCCACTAAGCTGTCAAGCAGGTATGCAGTTCTAAATTTCAAACCATTAGGCCAAGTAAAATATAAAAATAGTTAACAGTTTCTCATCTTCATCCTGTTCTTTATTCCTGATTCCCTTTTTCAAAAGTTATCAACAAATTTCACACTGCATGTCAAATGATGTTGATTTAAAAACTGTTAACTTAGTGATGGCTCCTTTAGAAATAAAGGTGTAAGCACCAAGAAAATAAGAGAAATCTGGCATGGGGGAAAATCAGCCTAAAATAGAAAACAACTCATCTTAAACAATCTTCCTTTTTCAAACAACACAGCTGAGAAACTGTTTTGATTTTTTACATGGCCTTAAAGATTTGACAAGATAGCCTCTCTGTTTCAAGTTTTACAGCTTTCTTGCTCAGGTGCGAACTGCCAACCTTCCTATCAGTTATTTCTGGACAACTTTAACTGGTAACCAAATGCCATTAACTGCTTAGCAAAACTAGTACCTGCTAAGCAGGTTCATCTGCCTAGGAGCTTTCTGGAGATGACCCAAGTAATAAAGACACAAAATGTAAATGTTTGAAATATTTCCTTTGTACACCCTCTCGGTCAATGCAGAACCCTTTGTCTTGTCCACATTATGTGTGATCAGGTCTCTGCGTACACCACTCAATAAATTAATGCCATCTATGTTACATAATGCTGTGCTGTCCCTTGTGGGTTATGGTGTATAAAACATACATGGGAAAAAAAACACAACATAACAGAATTGCAATCACTATTTCTTTCTATGTACATGCAATTTGTAGAAATTGGTAGCACAATTTTTTAACACCAGCCAAGAGCAGTGACTTGTATCCGCCCACAAGATATCACGACCATGAAAATGTTCTTACAGGTGATTTCTTATAACGTAGACATACTTTTGCAGTTTTTAAGTGAGTGTTATTTTTTAATTATGCTCATCTTCACTCAGGTGTATGATCAGGCTTTTGGACAAGAATCAACCACATTTTGAACAAATGTTGCATAATAGCTTACTCGTTACTTTAGTTATTTATGAAAGAGTGAGAAAACTGGATCACACAGTGGTCAAAGTGAACAACTGGATCTCAACAAATTCCAATAATTGCATATCGTGCAATTCTTACACCTTTTGCGTTCCCCCGATTTCAGGTATGCAGACATTCAAATGGAAAAATTCAGTCATTCAGTTGCTTCACATTTTGCCCGGAATTTCCTGGGTATTGCCCCAAACCTCAAGACTTCTTCATGAAATATCCATCTTGTTTACTTTTGATAATGAATAATGTTTAAAGTGTTGACAATCACTCAACCTTTTCAGTTATATGGTACACATAAGTCATGGTTTTTTTTAAACACTAAGTGGAACTCACTGTTACTTATTACTTACGTAATTTTACTGTTAAGTGTCAAACATGCATCAGTATTAGTGTGACCCTACTCAGCAGCATAAATGCTTCCGACATTTAGCTTGTTGGTTTGGGGGAGTGAAGATTTTCTTCTGCTGAATTCCCAGCTTTGACACACAAGCAACTATGGTCTAAAATCACCAAGAAAATTTTATGCGGTTATTTGTCTATACCAAAATGAAACAAGCGCTCGCTCCACCCCTCCTATAAAGAGTGGCGTCCACTGAGCTCCGCCCCTAAATAAATCCTGGCCACGCCTCTCAATATGCTCTGCAAGGTGCATCTCGTTATACTTCCCTTTAGACACTAACAAATGCTAATGATACAAGCGGACAGTGACAATTAAGGCAGAAACTACACTGAGTTAAAGAGAGAACCTTTTAGCGTAGTTGCATCCAATGATTCAAACAACTAATAAATATATAGATGTTTTTCTTGTTGGGCGGAAATCTGACACTGATTCCATATGAACATCACTGGCAGCAAAGGGGGGGAGGAGTCTTTCCCCCCCGCCTCTTTTCACCTTGGGGCTAATGGCCCACCACTATTGGCAGTTCCTTCAATGGCTGATGCATGATGGTTTCATAAATGGCCCTCCCCCTGAAAATCATTCTGCCCCCGTTGATGAACAAACACAACTCCTCCAATCATTCCATTCACCCCAAGAGGAACTTTTTCAAGATCCATCTCAACTTTTTATACACCCTCCATTTTATCCCAATCAGTAAAAAGCAGTAGCACACTATGAATGTTGGCCACCATCCACCGGACGCCAGTCCGGGGGTCAAAGGGCAACGTGTCGATCGGGAGCTGGCTTCAGGATCCACTGCTGACATTAGATATCAAAGACTTAACTTTGTCAACAAAAAGACATTCAAACATCCTTGATTGATTGGCCATCGCCAACAGTTCCACAAGCATTAATTTCCAACTAATAAATTATGACCAGCTGAAACTCATGTAGGAAGCTGGGTGTTTAAAATTAAACTGAAGTCATTCTGTATTATGTTCCTTCCCCATTCACAATGATCACATTAAACTATACTCACTAACAAAACAAAACTTGCATTGATTTAGTCATCTACAATCATCACACAATCAAAGGTTGCATTACATTCTTCAGTACAAAAGGTTCTCAGCTTGAAAAAATTTGACTTCCATTAGCATCAAAGACAAAAACAGCTTTTAGCTCCTTTAACAGAGTGACATTTTCTTGATATGTAAAACCACAATTTGTAATCTTTTAAAGACAAACAGCTGAAGTCTAAGGGACAACGGGGAAGGTGTGAACCAGGGAACCAACAGACCTTGTACATGTATACAGGAATCAAAACAGGGCACCAGCTGTGCTCCTGTTGCTCCACCAGGCACTGTTTTTTATGACTTAGAACGGAAATACAGATGCAGTACCGCTGTAAGAGAAACACTGGCCTTGCACAGGGCTTGATGAATTGAGATCCCATTGATTGGAGCACAACATACTTCGTTCCCCAGCAAGTAAGGAATCTCATTCCAAAGAGCAAACAAACAAGTGACTTGCTCCTGACAGCATTTGTTTCTCCACGTTGATGAGATAAGATCAAGGCACAGTGCTGATGTTGTATGATTCACTACTGTCTGGTTACTTCTCAGTCTACATGGTGTTTACTACCCAGAAGCAATCAATCATTCTCTCTATTTTTTCTTCTTCTACCACGTGTGCTCAATCATTATTGTAGACCAGCCTTCATTCTGGTTCCAAATTAAAAGTCTCTCGTGTATAAAAAAAATTGATATGGAGATCAATCTAGGGCATACCATCAGGGGAAAAATTTCACACTTGCAACACAGAACTCACAGTTTGTCTAGCTTTAGGAACCAGCTAGCCTTCCTGACAAGGCGTTTGACATAGATTTCTCCACTAAATGTTAACCCCTTCGCACCGAGAGGCGGCTATAGCCGCCGTACAAATTGAGATCCCCAGCCAGCTTTTCAGCTATTATTCTCAGCCCATGCTAGAGCAAACACGGTGAAAGAAGGCAGACCCTGGCTCTTGTGTATATGGTAATTGGCCTTTGTGTGTAGCCCAGAAATGAAAAGACTGATTTTGCATCATAATCACCAGCTTCACAATAGTCCCCACTTTGAAAAGAGGCAACGGGAATGTGGAAGCTTGAGTAGAGCCACTGAACAATCAGCCTTTTCACCGTGTAATTTAAAGCGTGCAGAGCACACTGGGCCACAAACCGAGAATTTGCGGTTTGGAAGGTGGCCTTCCCGCCGAGAAGGGGTTAAAGGATGCTAAAATCTCTAACTGCTTTGTCTGTCAAATTTTTGTTTTGTCCATCAAGATTGCAACAGTTGTACAACTACAAGTACACATAATCATAAAATATTTTGGAATTATTAAGAACGAATTTTGCACTTTCTACTTCATGCAGTAAAAGATTAAAAAAGAAACAATCTGAAGTCTTCCTGAATTTGAGGCAAATTTTAACTGAGAAACCCTGTATGTATTTCAAAAATACTTTGTACACATCTCAGTGCAAATAACCCAACGGCCAAAGGCAAACATTCTGTACAGTCATAAGAAAAAATCTTTGCGGCCTAAACACTTTCAACTTCTTGATTCATCCCAAAAATATTTCATAACAAAAATAGTTTGGCATTTAAAAATGGCTTCTGGAACTAGCAATTGGGGAGCAAGGCAAAATTCAGTCTCTTTTCCTTCCAACATATTTGTTTCCACTTTCCACTCTCCAGTCAAGCTCAACACGACTTTTCTTTTGCATCTTTAGTTTTTCAACTCAACAGATTACGGTACATCCACATTTTCTTGCCCTCAACAGCAACAGATTTCAGCAGAACTAAAGTATTAAAAATGAACTTCTAAAGTAGAAACCCGGCATTGTATCACATACTTCAGAAGCTGTTCCACCAACATATCCATGAGCGCGGAAAAATTTAGATTATCAGTAAAACCACGTAGTGTCGTCCACTTGGCACACGTTTCTAGTTAACTAATCTTAAGTTGTGAACATATATCACACTTCAGTGATTTTACTGCCCGATCATGATTCTCACAATTGCAAACAATGCTGAGTACTTGAACACATGAAAAGGAATACAAATGTGGATATGCAAAAAAGCTGTACAGTAATATACTTTGGTGAACTCTTCTAAACTTCCCTCTGTGTTTGTGCAAACACTGGCGATACAATTCAGTTTAATTAATAAGGCAAGTTAGCACACAAGTAGTTCAACGTAACTCTACGATCTGGACATGTCTTGTTTTGCATATTAAAAAAGATAAATAAATGGGAGTCCTAACACGATTTCTCCCCTAATTTTGCCGGAAGATACGCAAATTTAGCTGCGAGATCCAGCACTATGTAGAGATGATGTTGGTAGTGGAACCTGCATCCACCCCTAGTGAGCCCAGTTCACTTAGTGCTTTATCTACTGGGTTACCAGTCCTGGCACAATTGAGCAGGCTTTCCTAAGGGGTGAACATTTGCCTGGGTTAATTTCCTACCCGTTTGTCTTCCCTTGAAAGCTTCATGGTGCAAAATCCTACATGCATCATTTCTGACGTTGTGATCTAGATGGTATCTAGAGCCACTAACCACAACCATCCTCCAACATCTATGGAGATTTAATCCTCAATTTGCAGAATTTTGACAAAGTTGGGGCAACGCAGACCAGACTAGTAAGCTATTTTCACTTCTGACGGAGCTTTTGGTGTCCCAATCATGTATACAAGCAAGGAAAGTCCCAAGGATTGATGATAAGGATATATAAGAAGGGTTAGATTTTGAAAGGTACAAGCAGTTTCCTCACAAAATATTCCTCCAAAGAACTACCAAGAATAAGGGTGAGTGAATCACAATGAAAATGTGTGAAATCTAGCTTATTTATCCAACAGCTCCTAAAAAAAATTTATTTGAACGAAGGAGAGGATTTGTTGTTTTCTTCCGTTTTTGAGGAGAGATGATTTTTTAATAATTATTATTTAGTTGACATGTCTGTCAATAACAGTCACTTTTTGGACATGTCACTTGAAATATTATGAGGACCATTACTAGTGAAGCTTGATGAAGAAATGAAAAAGAACAAATTTCACTCAAACTTTTTTGTCATGAGTCTGTGTGTTAGACAGTCTTGATGGCTCACTTAACGTTTTTCCCCCAAGCGTATACCGGTGTGTGTCCTGTTGCTCTGCTAGTTAATTTAATGCTGTGATGCATTTTGAAATCCCTTGTAGATTTCCTCCTAAAAAAACAAAGTTGATAGCGTTGGGGGCCAAACGTCACACAGCCGCTATGCTACAAATGACAAGCAAGCTGGTAACTCAGTGCTGCATTAATCTGGTTCTCATCAGGGGGTTGGCCAGTGGCGGAATGGTCCATTGCATTAACGAACCAACAACTCACTGTAAGTGGCACTGCTCAGACCAAGGCCCAACCGCAACTTGTGCCTAAGCCTCTAACCCTTGGATCCTTTGATGGTCTCATGGTGACTATGAGCAGCGAGCATAGAGTTGACTTTGCCCAAAAAACAGTCACGCAGCAGTGGCCAAAATCGCGACACGCTTTAGCGTAAGCACACCTAGGCTGTGACAAATGCTTGGGGGTTTGTTTTCTGCTGAGAGTAACGGCACGAAACTTGGCCCCCAAATACCCAAGTAGGAGAGCAACATGGCTCGTTATAGAACAAGCAACGACACGGTAAAATATACTACAGATGAGCCTACAGCCACAGGATGTCATAAACTGGCCCAATGGCAAACGCGTAACACCTACTCAGCATTATGCTTGAATTACAGACTGACTGATTTGTCATCACTGATCAAGGTCATTCAAGGACAACGGGCAAATCAGAGGCAAGCATTTGAAAACTGTTCACGTCAGATTCATGGATTTGTTTGCAGGGGCGTGTCTAGATTATGGTGCAACATCTACAGTACCGTGGTCGACCCCCACCTACAGAAGGGGGCGGCGTGACAGGTGCAAAGTAGGCCTGAACTTTGACATCAGGATGTTGTGCCTGGAAAAAGTTGAAAAAAGAAGAAAAATTTGATTGAAGTATCAAAAGGTCTTAAGCATTTTTGTGTCTTTGAAGAATTTGAATTCCAAAGTTACCTTTGCTTTACCTTTAAATGTAAAAATCACTTAAGTACAAAACTGCTGCATACAAACTATTCAATGAAATATTCAGGATGAAAAAGAACAATAATTGTGCTTTCAAAAAGTCATTTCCTGAATAAGGGAGTACTGGATGGTAAGGTAGATGAAACAGAATAATTGTTTTTCCATTCCATAAGACAAAAAAGTAACATAATCTGACGATAAGAAAATTATTTTGCTCAAGGCCTCCCGAACCCTTTGTTTTCATGTCACTGTCCTGAATTGGATTGGAAACCATCAGCCTGCTAGCTTGACGGTCGAGTGGGTAAGACACCTGCACAAGCAACCTAGAGGTTCCGGGTTCTAATCCAAACGGATTTCAACTGGATCTTCACACTTACCCTTAGCCGCCTGATGCCGGCTCTGGTGATCAGCTGGCAGTCATACAGCTCGATCCTCTGCAGGCTCTGGCAGCCCATCAGGTGTTCCAGCGCCACGTCAGTGATCAGCGGACAGTTGTCCAGCTCGATGACCTGCAGGTGCTCCGTGGCACAGGCGCTGGTGCCTATATGGCGGATCCCCTCGTCTGTGATCAGCTCGCAGTGGGAAAAACTCTGCCGGGAGAAAGTCGTGCAGCTAAATCTTTTTTAATCGCCAATGCAGGGTCATTGGCTCGGACATGTTGGCCAGTTTCACAAAGTAATACATACACAGAAGCTTGGTTAGTGCAGAAAATCCTGGCTAATAGCCCAAATGGGTTACCAGCTAACTTTTCATGTGCTGCATACTGCCTGAGACTGACTACAAGCTGAGTTTTGCTTGGGTGTAAATATGCTGAACAATATTTCTGACAGCTCTATGAATTTGGCCCTGGCCTGAGCACTATACTCAGTTCAGCAGTTCTCGCTTGTAGATCAACAATGACTCTGGCTTGAACACCAAAAACAGTCCAGCATCATGCCTGTTGACCAACATTTGCTAAGTACTTGTCTTCTGAAAGCTGGCCCCACAAAACTGTAGGATACGATTGCATATTCAAAATGGAAATATGACCTTCTTACGAGCAGAGGAAAAGATACGGTGTAAACAGGTGAAATCTCTGGGGCTAGATTCAGGAATCAAAATGACAATGCTTACTAGTTCTTGCAATGAAGGGCAACCATTTGCCAAATGCAACAACGTGGAGTCGGTAATCTGGAAAGAAGAGCAAAATGTGATGATATCAAATATTCACCATGGAAAAAATGCCTCTTGATATTCCAAATCTCGTCAGGTTAAGATCAAACTCTGATAACTATTAAAATGAAAAACTCATACGCTTAATTTAAAAAATCGCACATCACATTTTTTTTAAAGTCATGGATACTACCAATTAGATGAACAAAACTTAAACTTCCCGTCAGCTGATGAAAAAGACCATATTTGTGTTTACAAAACGAAAGAAAATTTTTCATTATTTTTGGCACAAAAAAAAAAGAAGAAAATCTCACAATTCAATTAAAACACCTCTTGCCACAAAAAGCTTACCAGTGAACATTCTTCAAGATCCATCCTCTCCAATTCTGAACATGTCTGAAAAAGGGGAGAAAAAGAAAGTGATTTTTTGTCAGTCTTTTCCTAAAGAATATCTCAAGTATTTCTCACTCCAACACATCACGCACCCAGGGTATTCCGGACTTTGTTACACCAGTTTGAACACCCACCATGAGCTACAAACATTTCTTCTCATCATCTGTCCCTTGCATGGTGTACAAATTTCAACTTCAACATGGTTTGAAGACCATGAAATGGTTTCACACAAATCAATGAGATGACATTTCCAAAAGTAATAACATTTCTTTGCACACAAATTTCTTGAAAGGACTTGAAAGGAAAGGTTTACTCACTCTTGCTAACGCTTGGAAACCATTATCTGTAAACTGAGAGCAGCTGGCCACTTCCAATGTTCTGTTGAAGAAAGAACAATTTTATAGAGTACCGAAGTGTGACGTCATTTAGATCCAGTTGATGCCGTACAAACGAATGGAGTACGCGCGTGCGTTGGTTCATGCACTGGTACACGCGCTTTTACACACATAAGTGTGCGTGTGACGTATTCACTTCGGTACTCTATTGCCAGCGTGACTAGGGTTCAACAGATGGCAACGTATTAATATTGTGATTTCATTAATCTGAGCCATGAAGCAAGATTTCTGTTCCTTGACTATGAGTTTGTCCGAGTACAAAGAAAATCCTCAGTGGTCAATTTTTCACGGTTGATTTGAGGAAAGATGCCCGAGGTGGTCTGATTGCAAGAGTGGAAGAAAGAGAGAGGTGTCGCTCACCTGAGTTTGTGGCAGAAGTTACTGAGTGCTATTAGCGTTGCGTCGGTGAGGTGCGTGCAGCCGGAGAGGCAGAGAGACTGAAGCTTCCGGCAACCCTGAGCCAGTCTCTGCATACCTTCGTCTGTCATCAACTGAAAAAATCAGGGAGCAGAAACAAATCCACATCTGTCAATGGGTGACAATTCAGAGGTCCACAAACTTGAATTCATGAAAAATGTGCAGTATGCACGTGAAACAAAGCGATGAGCTTCTTATGAAAATTGATTGAAAGGGAAGTCAGCAATGCACCATGAATGTGACAATATGTATACTGCGCTTATGAAAACACTGCCTTAAAATCTGCATTTTAAGGCCAAGTTATTTTCCCCCACCGGTTGAATGACAAGATATCCACAGCCAAATCTGTTGCTCTGGATTAAAGCTCCAGGTCACATTTTGTTGACAGCTCTATTAGGCATTGCGAGATAAGGAAAACTTGATGAGTCATGGGACTTACCGTGCAACCTTGAACATTAAGGGTTGTCAAGTTGGGACTGTGGATTCCTAGATGAGTGAGGGACTCTTCTGTTAACTGAATATAAAAAGAAAGTTTACAAAGGAGGTTAAGAGAAGCTTGCAAAGTGGTCTTTCCTGTACATGTAAGCACAGCATTGGCTTCAGAAAAATTCTTAAAAGGGAAGTAATATAGATGAACTTGAATGGAACATTATCTGATATCTGCAGCTCTTTTTTGTTATAGAAACTTAAACCCTGTTTGTATAAAGGGTTTGCATGGCTGCCATCTTGCAGGCCTGTGCTTTTGTACCACAGGGTGTGCACAAAGGAGGTTTCTCTGTGGAACAAAAGCACTGCCCTGCAAGATGGCTACAACAGAAAGCCTCTATACATATGTCCATATGCATTATTTACATCGGTTTTTAATTACCTTTCTGGTCCATTGTCTCATACATTTTGCATTGTATTTCCTGTTTGGTCATACCAGAGGGGACAAACTTTAAGAAAAGATGGAGTCAGAGTTCCCTACTACCTTTCTGACTTAGCAAAACTCCAACAATGAAATTTTGTCCCGTTGACCAATCAACGTTTGTTATTTGAACATGTGATTCCAGCCTTATAAAGCACTATCGATTAGCATCTGTCATTCTTGGATTTATGCTCTGATGAGTGTAAGTCAAAAAGTACTTTAGCATGCCTTTCTCATTTACTGAACTCTATTTTCCAGTTCTGAAGTACCAAACAATTATTCATATCAATGGACTTTTTGAACAGAATGCCTCACAGCAACAGTATGCAGAACTACCCACATTTTCCAGAGCGCCAAATTTGTCTAGCACCAATAAGCTTTCACTGAAACAAACAGGCTATTCGATGCCATCAATACCCGTCCAAACAATCAAAGATCATGCAGCTTACTTCACGCTAACTCTCCAAAGAATTAAATGAGTCACAAAACCACAGTAGTTCATTTAAAGAGCACATGATCCTCCCATCCCTAGTAATCATAGTCCCGCCTCCTTGCTTACTTGATGGCATCCTTTACAGATCAGCACGGCTAATTTGGGACAGCCCCTTGCCAAGGCCTCGATGCCGTTGTCTGTCAGGTTACACCAAGACACATTGAGATAGCTCAGGTTGTGACATCCATCACTGAACAGATTCAGAAAAGATGCTTCAGCACAATGGCCTTTTTTACAAGATTTTTAATGTAATATTGTCTATCTTGCTTATATAATAAGAAATCCAGGAGGTTGGACACAACTTTTGTGGAATTAGGAAGGTAGAGCCCAACCAAGGTTAATTGACATGGGCCACAATGCTCCTTGACTGGTTAAGTGAAGGCTCCATTGGTGGGACCTGCCCTTTGTTGGTTCACAGACTATAAAATGCCCATGTTGCGGTCACAGAGCTATCAACAAAACCAAAACTCCCTACCAACAAGGCTCCTATCAAGGGGGCGCTTCTGTTCAAGGCAGAAAGATGGCTTCACAAGCTTCAGGATATTTCCTGGTTAGAATGGCCAGTGTGTTAAGGTCAATCTGTGCCTACAGTGGCATTATTGTCAGAGAGTCCAGTTGACCTTTACCTGAGGTACTTGAGAGCCTGGTCTGTGATGGACGTGCAGGAGTCTAGCTTGAGCCTGTGGAGTTTACTGCAGTACTTGCTCAGGCTGGCTGCCGTCTTGTCTGAGATCTTCTTACAGTCACTCATCCGCAGAATCTCTATATTTCTGCAGTTCTGTGCAAATGTGCTGTGCCGAGGAAACAGGCAAATGGATGAACTGATACTGACTAAAAGTGAAAGGCAGAGTAATGGGATTTGTCAGAAATGAAATTGGTCATGCTCAGCATGTTCCGTGTTACATGTACATGAACATCCTATGTGTGTACTGGCACCTGTAAAACTCGGCCACATAATCTGCTCTGACTTGCAATAACCTTTCACCCTCTCACTGCCAAAGAATGGACAGAAAAATTTCCTCTTGGTGCACAGTGCAAACATGTACATTTCTACAGAAATTGGTCATGCTTAGCATGTTCCATGTTACATGTACGTGAACATCCTACGTGCGTACATGGTGAGCTCCCCACAAAGGGGCAAGCTCCTTTGCAAAGACCACCAACTCTTGATCCAAAGACAAGCCAATGACGACTCGTTAATGAGAATTCAATTACTCATCGACACTGGTACCTCAACAAAACAACAGTCAAATATCCAAACAGCAACACGATGTCATGTGTTGAGTGAGCCCTCCTGAGTTCTAACATCAACACTTACTTGAGAGCATCATCTGTGACATTCTGGCAACCATAGAGGCTGAGATTCTTGAGGAAGCCACCGCATCGTTTGGAAATATGTTCAACCACTTTCCCCTGAGAGAGATCGACATTACGTTCAGTTTAGGGCCATGACAAAAAATACATTTCTCAAAACTCACTCCTCCCTGATTTTTAACTATTGTCAAGTTGATCAAACTTTTTCAATTTACAAACAGTCCAAAGCAGTGTTCTTCATGAATAAAGCTGGCTCTCAGATGAGGTACTTTGCCATTATTCATTAAAGCATGCCACTATTTGGGACTGAGGGATCAAGCACGATGCTTTTGTATGAGCAGCGATTCAAATAAATTTCCCAATAATTTCTATTCCTACCACCTATCAGTTGCGATGACAGGATTGTAGCAGAATCCTTCACAAAGCCTTTTGAGAAAGGTTCACCCTGGCTTCAAATGTCACAGCTTTTCGCAGCATTTCATATTTAAATATTTCAGGCAAATACACTTAGTAAGCAATGTTCCATTGCAATTTTCAAGTCTACTTTCTGTTCTGATGAATACATTTCCTTTCAGATCTTAGATAACCTGTTTATCTCTCACTTGTGATGCAACAATCCCACCCATAAGTGGAAATCAAATCACGTCTTCATGATTAAAAGGAGCAGGAAACCATTCCAGAAGTCAGGTGTGGTTTATCTACACATCCAACGGACATGTCAAGGCCCAAAGGCCAAAAATCCATCTAAAACTGACTGCCTGGATGGTATCAATATATCAAAACTAATGAACGCTTCCTTGTTTTCAAAAAGTGGTATTTCTAATGGTGAAGCACTTCAATATTGTATTTCACATGATACAAATGTTTACCATGTTTTATCTATTTTAACAATAAAAACAGAACCATCTCTTTATAGTTACTATTTGACAGGATGCACAGTTGTTTACATACTGACCTGGCTGACTGCCAGATGACACATATCGTACCTCAGCTTTTTCAGAATTTTCATATTTGAAAAATTCTTCACAGTCATCGCTACACTGGATATTGTTTCGACATGCACTTATGCCAACACATCAAATACAAGTAATCCCACAAGCACAGCATTAGATTTGTTCTGACGTACCTCGACATCCTTCTGGAAGTTAAATAAATCCACCTTCTGCCAGTTGCTGCCATCTAGAGCAAGCTGGTTCCAGGCCTACAAGCCATTAAAAATCTAACGTAAACATTTCTCCAAGAAATGGGTGACCCTCAAGCCACGTCACTTTCTATACAATCTACATGTAGCATCCAGGGTAAAAGCAAGTACACGTAACAGCAGCCAATTCAGCTGCATGTATGTGAGTACTTATAAGTTTGATACGGAATGGTTCCACTTTGGGTAATTAACAATAAGAAAAGTTGCCGTCAGTGCTTTAAATTGAAGTTAAACTTCCACATAATAATGCAGACGAATCACTTGCATACATGTACATGTACACTACCCTGTAAAATAGCACGGGTAACTTTGTACTTTCTGGCAGGTCGGCAGATTTACAATGAATTAAATCATTTTTAAGGAAAAGACAAAAGCACTCAAAAGGGCTTATGAGTTTACAACTAAAGCCTCCAAAATCCATGAACTTAAACAAGCAGAGAATTATGCCTACTTTCCATGTTACATAGGCTCTACTGCAAGATGGAGAAACAGACAGCATCTACATGTACATGAATGTAATGCTCCCAGGTCCTTCAAATATAGAAGAAAAAATCCCATCAAGATTGTGGGCTGATATCAGAAAATCAGTTCCCTTGAAATGGGATTATTCGATGCACCGTCACGCGTACCTTGGAAACCTGGGCACATCGACACAGGCTCACCACATCTAGGTATGAAAATATCCTGGAGGAAGCAAACATACAAGAAGGTAATTAAAAGGACCAGGCCAAAGTGGGACACATAATTCAATAGTCCGATTATATTTTGCCTCAGTGAAAATTAGTGCATAATACAAGGCTGATCTGAGGCCTACAGACACAGTGTTCCATTTCCCAGAATAAAATCAGCTTTGCGCACCACAGTGGTTCGCTGCAGTAGGCCGTGCGGTGGACAGAAATGTGAATATCAAACATGAAAAAAAAAGAAATAAAAAATCAACTTCCAAACAAATTCTATAAAATTGTACTTGTACACACACACTCATTACCTGGTAAAATTCAGGTGAAAACATTCACGGATTATATTCTCAAGGACTTGTAGCTACATGGACAATTTGTCCGACATCCTGCTGACAATTAGTTCTGGTTTTATCCTCTCATCAGCGTACCAATACATAAAGCAATCATTCTTCCCGTGTAAACGCCAATGGGAACTGCTAATGATTATCATAATAATAGCCCGGTGTGCTTACAGCAGGCCTTCGGGTAGAGCTATAAAAGTACACTTTGGTAAACATAACACGCCTGTCATGCACGGAAACACTTAGTTTCTCAGAAAAGTCACTCAGCAAAATGGAATTCATGCCATCCAATCGAATGGACACGGCGTGCTGCAGAGGCTGCATGCAAGTGTTGAATTTTTTACGGGCTTACACTGTACACGTCAGCATACACATAGCGACACTACAGCAAGATGTCAATTATTACATTCTATATGTATGTGTGCGTGTGTTAACCTAATTCCCCTCCCCAAGGTATTACTGTAACAGGAAACTACCTAATAAGACATTATAAGACACAATTAAGCCATGCTGTGCAGTAATGAAGGCTTCTTTTATTGCCAGAAAAATTTAAAGGAACCAGGAATAGAAATATTTCTAGAAATTTTACTAAAACCCTTGAAATTGCATCTTGGGTTTCAGTTGACCTTATTTTGATTTTGTTTTGCAATTTTAACTCATATTTTAGGGGTTTTTTTGTTTTTTATGCTAATGAAATTTGTATATTCATGAGAAGAACTATGATGTAATCCAAGGCACTGAATCTCATTGTTGCACTGATTTGTGCACAGAAACTTTCTAGATTTGTTTAACAACTGCTATAGCAGATTTTTTTGGCAATTTATTGCTGTGTAAGTATATGGCAAAAATCCAGCAAAAAATCCTTTTCAAAGAAATGCTCCCAGAAAGCAAATTTGGGATTCACAATTTAAACATGAAAACATGCAACCTGAACCATGTCTTCCTGGATTTACATCAAAGCACCCTCACTTGTCCAGAAATGCTTGGTCAACATTTAATGTTTGAAAAAGTGCACCGTTCAGTTCACGTTATTCAAAAAAAATGTCAACCAGTCTTCATACATAGAAGAATACAGAGATACACAAAAGTGATTCAAAGAAAAATTCATTTCCTGGTTCCTTTAAGGCCAATCAAGCCAGCATTAGAAATAGACATGTAGTGAAGTTCTTTTCAAAATAAAATAATAGTGTCTACAAACTAGTGCAAAAAGGAATGCAAGATCTTGATGCATATAGGGAACACAGTGGTGTAATTTAGGGTTTTTTCTTTGCTATATTTCTGTTCTGTTCCATTGATTAGTTTTGCTTTTTAATTTAACTCTTTTATTGTATGCTCACAATTAAATTCTTCATTTAGTAGAGTTTTTCGATTGCAGCTTGTGTAACAAAGGAAATTATCCCCTCAACACTTGATTCGTTGGGTATTAATTGGGTATTTTATTGACTAAGTAAATATCTTAAATAAATTTAAATAAAACAAAGTTCATTAAAAGTAAATTTCTGTCACAGACCTTAATTCCACACAGTTCATACAGTTTCTCATAAAAATCTTCTTAAATTTCAACATTCCCAAGTCTTACATCTCACAAACCCTTGAAATGCACTTTGATGAGGAATTATGATTTTTGCAGGAACGACAAAAATGTACAACGCAAATAACAGCATGAAATTGCAACATTTTACGGACGGGCTCATGAATTGTATTAAATCTACAGCGGAGGAATGCGGGGATCAAAAGATGTGCATTTCCAATTTAGAAAAATGAAATAATAAAATGGAAAGCACTTCCTTTGAAATGTCAGGGCTGTCAGCAATAATGTGAATCAAAGTCAAATTTATCTTTAATACACATCTGAATTATGAGCCCGGACTGTGTTCACTTGAGGCACATGCACCAGTGTGTACGTGCACTTCACGACCAATCAAATATAGCATCAAGAGAGAGAGCTAGGGAGAACCGACAGGAAAGCGGACCTCATGGGAGTAAATCATGCAAGTCCGGTCTCAAAAACGTATCTGACAAAAGGCACTTTATACCTTTGAACATGCTCAAAATGCCAGCCTACTGTACATAAGTTTACACATGGGCATATTGGGAGGCAACTGAGATTGACTGTGTGGCTGAGGACACCTTCAGTGACACATAAAACAGTGTCCTCCAACCTGACATGTAGCCTGGCCACCTACCAAGTCTCCCATCATGTTCAACAAGTAGCCACCTGAGCTTTAAAATCTGGCCACCAAATTTAGAAATTTACATTCTGGAATATTTCAACTCAAGCTGTATAATCTTGGTGAAAACAAAAGCTGTGTATGTTTGCTATTAATCCCAAAGAGGCACAGGACTTTTGACAAGTGAGCCATAACTAAACCCCCCCGTTTCAATATTTTTGTCAACCTCCATCAAGTGTGAATTGAACACCTGGAGAACCCTGTTAAGTATTAAGCCTGAACTGAAGTCATTTAATTCATTTCAAAAATTTTTAGTTTGTGAGGCTAATTACATTTAGTAATTTCGGGATTGAAAAAAAAATACTATTTGTGCTCCATTTTCTGAGGGGTTAGGATGGTCAGCCAACCTACACGTACCTTAAGGTGTCCTCCTTTGGAAGTTTGGAGTTGATGAGGCACTCATCATCCCGTAGGATCTAATCAAAAATCAAAAGATAGGGACCAAAAAAATCAGTGAAAATCATTTCCAAAATTTGATAGAGAACTGGAAATGAGGGTTACATGAATATACCTGTACATGTTGGAGCTGACAATTAGTGAAAGTAGTGAACAAAATCTCAGAGTCCCATAACAGATACCTGTATATTGGTACCTTGATCACACTGCAACCCCTCTGAACATAGGCTGGGCTTCATATTAGATCTCTATACAGGTGCATGTACATTCTGAAGGCTCTCAATCCCTGGTCTAAACCAGGGTTGAAAATGAGCCATGTTAACTTCCAACCCATGCAAAAGCTCCCTAAAATGCCAAAGTGGTTACCAAAATCACTGGATGTGGATTAGAGTCCATCAGAGATTCCGAACTGTGAAATGCCTACTGAAAAAACTCACTGATTGTTTATTAGACACTACACTGTTTCGGACAGCAGACTTTTATTGTGCGCCTGTAAAGATGTGACTGCCCTGGATAATTACCAGTGGGCATAATTGGAGCTTTTTCCTGAGGATTGAATTACCAATTACCACAGGCTTGGAAAAGAAACCACTTCACGATCAGGGCAGTTTGTCAAATGAAGGTTCATCTCTGAACAAAAGTAACCAAAGAACTGCTGGGTGATGTTACACTTGTGTCCCGGCTCCCTGATTGCTGCGGTATATTACAGGAGGGTCTCTAGGCTGTAGTTTTTTACTGCTGGTAGTTTTGCTTTCGCAAGGAGGCACTGGCTCCAATTTAAACCCTGATACACTCAGAGGTCAAAAATGTCATCGTTGATTAGACAAGAGTTGGATGCCAGGATTTATTCAATTTGCAGCAGCGATAACAGGGTCAGCATTAATTCTAACAAGAGTCCTATCGGGAACGACTGCAATTTACAATGAAACAGGCGAATTGCCAAGGGAATACAGAATACAGACCTAATCATTTGAACCCCTTGCTCTCTGAGCCAGTTTGGGCCAGGGGTGCCTTCCTGGATTGAGATGCATCACTGTGTGGCAATTCACCAGTTCCAGACAACACCGACACAAACGAGCCCCATGCAATGAACGCGACAGTCATTAATGACGAAGAGCGCACAGTTCTAGGGGTAACCGACACATAAATCTCTCTAACTGCAGACCTTGAGGTAGATAGAATAACTCTGACTTGAGGACACTGGAGCAGGTTAACACAAATGATGATCAACCATGAAATACTAAAGTCACCCACGCATCTCTTCAGCTGTTGGAAATCACAGCAACTTGGTGACGTTCCGTACTTCATTTTATCATTTTTCATTGCTGCTCAAGTATTGATTTTATTGTTGAAGATGCACTGACAAACAACATTGCAACTAAAGTGAACTGTCTACATAAATTTGGAAAACTGAACAGCAAGTGCCCATTTAAAAAGCACGAAGCAAACGAGATGAGGAAACATGTATGCATGGTACCATACTTGTATGCTTGAGGATTTAGGCACAGCAGCAGACAACTTTGTAGATATCAACATGGGAGAAATGTTATACCCACAGCTCTATGTCTCCAATTAATTATCACATGATGTCAACTGTTCTAGGCAGGAGATACACAAACGACGACAACGAGCTGTTCTGTTAATATAACCATGCTATAAGCTACCTCAAAGCATGTATGAATGACGACACAGGTTTATGGAAATGTACTGTGGATAAATTACTTGCACATGCAGAGTATGTACATACTATTTACTGAGTTTCGAGGAGCAAAAAACAACTTGGAGGGCATGCAAACTTCACAAGTTTGTTTGGAAAGTTTACAATGGAGTTTATTTGCTCAAAATTTTGCTCTAGCTTTCCTTTTAAGGGCTGGATGAAAGTGTGCCTTTTTTTTAATGTGGAGGGAAATGAACCATAATCTTTTGAACTGTGATAAGGGTCCGTGGAGATCAAAATGAAGACCAAACTTATGAGTACATTTACATGTACACTCGGTGTAATTAACATAGATGTTATGCATAGATGCATGCGTATTCAAATTTGGGTGTGAGAAAATAGAAATACACCGGTCGGCAGTTTCTCTTTCAAATGGATAGATCCTGATGTTTGTCTTTCTCTACTGTGTGTCACTGATCTCTCCCTTGAAGGTGCATCTGTGAGCCAGACTTGGGGTAATCTTTCCCCGGTTCCTAATGGATCAGAAGTGTGTGTATGGCTGGCTACTACCGATCATCCTCTTAAAGCAAATGACGTCGAGGATTTGAAGACTGTGTCAGGGAGTCGTGGATTCCGGGCAATCCAATTGTAGCATTGATTTTTCTTCCCCCTGACCGTGAGCTGCCTGACGCTTGATAATATCGTGATACGCAAACAGAGTGATTCGTGCGATCATACACAAATGCATTGGTGCTGAGGCACTGCCCACTATAAGCAAAATAAGCTATGGAAGACACACTGTTGTTCACATTGACGAAAGTTGAGAAAAGTACAGTCAAGAAAATTTATAATCCCCTGTCTAAAAAACCCTCGCCTTTTAAATGGATCATTTGGGATGTAACTGCCTTCAGAAATATTAAAGGTGACAGGGTCTAAAAATAATGTAATCTGGTTGACAATTATGACAGTTCATGCACTCACGACTTCATAAACTGGGGCATACTGTACACGTACATGAACATGTCATGTACATGTACATGCATACCAAGGGTTCTACACCAGATTGTACCAATGTACCGATACTGTACCTAATTCTGTCCTTTAATGTGTCTTTCCAAATTTTCACTGCCTTAAGGCAGTGAACGAAAATGTAAATTTCTAGGTACATGCATGTACATGTACCTAGTGTGTACAGCCTACAGGGTCCAACATATAAGACTCTAGAGGTCGACACAGTTCAGTTTTAACTATTTAAAAATTAGGCATACATCAAATGTTTCTTTCTTATTAATCTTCATCTGCAGGCAAACAATCAGGAGTCCTTAACAGAAAGCCCAGGCGGGTAAATCTAATTAATTCAAGCTGATCAACTCAATAACTTACCACCAAATGGACAGCTGAAAAGCTTAAATATTTATAGTGATACACGCTTCAATTATTTTTCCCACTATCTGCCTGTGGTCCAGTGTGCATACTTAGGCGACTACCATAGACATGCTGACAGACAGCAAATAATTACCATCCAATGATCAATGACTTGATTTAATCTACCTGACCACCCCCCCTTATAAGCCTTAGCCTACATGTACAGTACATACGCACTGCAGGTTATGTAGTCAGACAACAGGCAATGGTGACTGGCCTCTGACCTCTGACACAGGGTCAACTAAATAAAAATGTTTACAGCCGACAAATTCTCCAAGCATGCGTTCTAGCCTTTCCAATTGGCTATTCCATAAAGCAAGTCACTGACATATTTCAAAGTCACAAGAAATACCGGTATGTATCAAGTTCCACACAAAAAATTATATTGCCTCCATAAAATCACTTGGCAATGATCTCTACTCTCTTTGATATCCCAACTACATTTCAGTAATGGCGTCCGCATGTTCGTGCATACATGCAGACAGCCACCTTGGTCCATGAAAACCAATTTCTTTAATGCACGTGTACATTCTAGAAGCTGTCATCACAATCCCATGACATGCCCCCCTCCCATGACATCATACTTCAGCAATGCACGCACGCTCACCATATCACCTCATGAGCATCAGCAGCCCCAGGCATGTCAAGCGGCAGTAGACTGTGGTGAGTATATGGTGCGTGAGCACCTTATAGCCAGTGCCAGGTAGCATTGGGTTGATATCTCACCAAAAAATGGTCACTTTGGGACTACTTGTACATAATTATATATCAGAGCTTAACTGTGTCATCTACATCAAAATCAAAACTAAACAGATTAAGGTAATTAAAGCACACTATCTAAAGCATTTACCTGCACAGGTGAAATTACATGTACATGTAAAAACCATAAAAAGATAAACATCTGTAGAATAAAACCCGTACTATTCTTGGCTACGATGTGTTTACAAACAGTTTCGCAAATGCAGAACAAATTCTGCATTGTGTGTCCTACCATGCCACTTCAGTGAATTCTGAACAACCCTCTCAAATGTGTACTGAGTGAATGTCCACACTGTGTACGAATAAATCCTGTCCGAGTAAAATGTAACAAAATGCTTTGGGATGGGAATTGTGGGACAACTTAATTTGCATAAAGGGCTATCCGTTCATCCAGGAGGAAAGGACGAGGGACGGTTGTCAATTTGCAGGAGTGATCAACACGAACATGCATGCCACCAGTATGCGCTGCATGCATGCATGCTTATAAAAAAATACCAGTACGTGCCCTGTCCGGACAATCTAGACTAACTCAATTAAGACCCCATCACAACCCTGGGAGGTTTTCTACACCTTACCCTGGAGATGAAGTGATGGACCCTTCCTCTGACTGCTCACCTGACCATGTCTAGTCCACTGTTACCCCCTCCCAACCCCCTTCCCAATTGAGTCCTTTAAAGTCGGCCCTCTTTTGGTTCATTAGGTTAGGGTTAGTATCACCTGAATTTTCAAATACATTTGGAGACATTTCCAAATGCTGCCTGCAATTGGAGAGCCAAAGTAACTCAACAAGGAATGCCTTAAAATGTACGCAGTGTATTCAAAAAAATTATTGGAAAAAAAACATAAATGAAATCCACAAGAAAGCAAACAAGTATCCCACATAACACATTACAAACATTATTAAATCATAAAAATAGAGCGTTTAAACTTTGACATTGTTGCCCACAATGTATACGTGTATACGCTAGTAGTTAAATGATAAATGAAATTTCATATTACACACGAACAGAATTGAAAACTTATCAATTTGGACCAGTCAGTTCTGCTGTTAATTACACTTAAAAGGGCAATGATGATCTATTTTTGGTACACAAGCACCTGTACAAGGTACCCTGCAGCATCAATGGCAGAAGTCCAAAGTTTGCCAATTTGTCACCCTTACATGCAGGAAATCTTAGT